AAACTACCTCTGTCTTTCAATGGTAAGAATTTGCTTCTTGTCACTGATTGAATTATTTGTATAACAGACTTTTAAATGGGAATATAATCATGGTTTTAGTACAATATATCTCCATTTTCTCTCTTCCCAGACCAAGTAGCACCCATCTGTTTGCCCAGTTATGGCGAGAGCTTTGAGAATGGACAGATGTGTTTGATCTCAGGCTGGGGATCCATAGTGGATGGTGGTGAGTGTGGATCCAATTGGTGTTAGTACACTTTTAAGGGCACTTAATTGAAAAAAGTTGAACAGCTGGTATTTCTTGTGCAAATGCTTGTAGTAAACACGTTTCACAGCTTTTGAAGACATTTTCAACTATATTGCTTTCTGAGTGTGTATTCAGTCGGCTCTTCAGAATGCACATATGTGTGTTGCGCAGGAGAGGCCAGTGTGTCCCTACATACCGCTCAGATCCCGTTACGGTCCAGCAGAGACTGCCGCAGACTGGGTATGACCTCCTGGAACATCTGTGCAGGATTCTCAGAGGGTGGTGCTGGAACATGTCAGGTATTGCATCTGTGTATTATCATCACAAAGTAGTACAATAGCCATTATTCAAACAACCACTCTTAAATGTATTTGCACCTTAGTTTAACCCCTAGTCTTCTGTCTGTAGGGGGACAGCGGAGGGCCGCTGGCCTGTCAGGGGACCGGGTGGACATTGGTGGGGGCAGCCAGCTGGGCTGAGAGCTGTGGACAAAAAAACAAACCAGGAGTTTACACCAGCACAAGTGAAGCTCTCACATGGATTCAGCAACAAATGGAGGTATATATAAAAAATAGTTTTGCTAAAAATAAATAAAAAATACACTTCCTTATTTACAAAATGTTTAAGGTTGGAAAATCAGTTCTGTTAAGTTGTCATTCCCAAAATCTCTAAGTATTTATTAACATTTTGACATTATTAGTAATAAAAGGCAGCTTGACTTGACTTTAAATTTAATTCGAATTTAAATGATTTTGTTTTGTTAAGTAAGGGTTTTAACACCAGTGACAAATTCTCATTAAAGATGAATTTTTCTCAATGGTGTCAAAAGCATCTCAAAACAAACATCATTGCTTAGAATATATTTAATACATTATAGGCCTACCATTAATTTTGTTCAATAAAAGTCTTTCACACAAAAATAAAACAATGCAACACAAATGAAATGTGTAAATCAACTGAATTACTGAAAGGTACATTTAATGAAATAACTTTTTTTTTTAATGTGGTGGGAAACTCACCATGTGAACATTGGTATGACCTCCTGGAACATCTGTGCAGGATTCTCAGAGGGTGGTGCTGGAACATGTCAGGTATTGCATCTGTGTATTATCATCACAAAGAAGTACAATAGCCATTATTCAAACAACCACTCTTAAATGTATTTGCACCTTAGTTTAACCCCTAGTCTTCTGTCTGTAGGGGGACAGCGGAGGGCCGCTGGCCTGTCAGGGGTCCGGGTGGACATTGGTGGGGGCAGCCAGCTGGGCTGAGAGCTGTGGACAAAAAAACAAACCAGGAGTTTACACCAGCACAAGTGAAGCTCTCACATGGATTCAGCAACAAATGGAGGTATATATAAAAAAGAGTTTTGCTAAAAATAAATAAAAAATACACTTCCTTATTTACAAAATGTTTAAGGTTGGAAAATCAGTTCTGTTAAGTTGTCATTCCCAAAATCTCTAAGTATTTATTAACATTTTGAAATTATTAGTAATAAAAGGCAGCTTGACTTGACTTTAAATTTAATTCAAATTTTATATGATTTTGTTTTGTTAAGTAAGGGGTTTAACACCAGTGACAAATTCTCATTAAAGATGAATTTTTCACAATGGTGTCAAAAGCATCTCAAAACAAACATCATTGATTAGAATATATTTAATACATTATAGGCCTACCATTAATTTGGTTCAATAAAAGTCTTTCACACAAAAATAAAACAATGCAACACAAATGAAATGTGTAAATCAACTGAATTACTGAAAGGTACATTTAATTAAATAACTTTTTTTTTAATGTGGTGGGAAACTCACCATGTGAACATCTGAACAGCCTCTTTGAACTCTGACCTTGGATGTACTTCCGACTTTTTTATATTTGAAAAATGCAAGCATTAACAAAATGCAATTATTATTATTAAGATTATAGTCAGATCCTACACAAAAGTATAACTCTGAAAAAAAGTATATATTAAAATTACTTAAATAAAAATAAAAAACATTCTAATGATTCAATAAAAATAAGTAAATAAATAACTATAAGTTAGAGAAGTGTTATACCAGATAGAAGAGACAAGAGATTGTTCAGGCACAAAATGTTTTTGTTTCTGGCAAATCCAACCATATTTTGATAATGACCAGGCCAACTAGTCATAGTAAACTAGGCCTGAGTAAGTAAAGGAGCTTAGGCGGGGCTGAACTTCATTCTCATTGGCTAGTTGATACTCTGATTTATTTTTCATTAACTGTGTTTGTGCTGATGAATAACTGACACGGTTCCTCAGGGTCTCTTTGACCTTTGAAAAGGTTTTTGGGACACTAGAGTCATCTAGCGGTGATTGTGTTGTTAAACACTGCGCCTTCTCAGCTTTTCTCAAGTTCATTGAACTGCAGACCGGACACAGACTTTGACACAGTATTAGCTGTTAAGTCATCAAGACATTCGATATTATATTTTCACAATCATATATTTACTCACAATAGGACATTCAGCATTCAAAATGTAACCATATGATAAATCATAATGGTTTTTGAATACCTGCCCGTGTGCTTCAGCTGCTAATAATGTTCGCGGCATTGTAAGTGCTGATATTTCCTTTTGGAAATACAAATAATAGTTTAAAATGTGTGTTTTTTAATCAGAAAGAAGAGGATCGGCAACATTGAGCATCTCATGGTGGATGAGTTTCTACTGGACTCCATGCACATATTTCCATAACCAACATCTAGCATACCTTATCCAACATGACTTATGAAGGGGGAAATCATGTTATGAATCATTCTATAATTTTGGGTACAACTCATATCAGGAAAAACAATACTCTTTCTCAATAAATTAACTACTGGTTTCAGTTCAAAATATTTTTCAACAGTGTAACTTGTCTGCTAGTTGCCAAGCTTAATCATTAAACACCAGTTTGATAGTACAGATAAAAAGATGTTTTCTCTGGTGGTGAGTTTGTCAACTATGTTACGGAAACTGTGCAGATTGACGGGTAACATAGTTGACAATTTCACCATTTTGACTTTGATTTGGTTGGCATTGTCTGGCCAACCAAATGTTATTTTCTTGATCAGGTTAACCTGAATCTTTAATGTTTGTTTGAATTAAAATGATAAAAAAATATTGCAAATCATAATAATGTACCCAACATAGTTGACAGGCAGTTAATACTGTGTACTCCTTGACAATAAGTCACTGGAGAGGACATTTACCATAATGTGCTCAAAGGTTTTATTTTTCTCAGGTATTTGGATTGTAGAAATACATTTAATATAGATCATTTTGATTTAAAAAATTTGTATTCATTATTTTGAACTCACTCAAGACCAACTCAATTCAAAAAGTGGCCATTGTAAAAACTATCATTTAAGGGACATAAAGGCAAAATTAAGGTTTATGTAATGTGGCGAGCTCAAACTGAAAAACAGGGTGTATATAAAATATATGTGTGTGATTATACTATGTATTCTAATAACGGATACAATATATATTTCTTAAGAAAATTGCTAGAATCATCAATGGACTACTATCATTTAAGGGACATAAAGGCAAAATTAAGGTTTATGTAATGTGGCGAGCTCAAACTGAAAAACAGGGTGTATAAAATATATGTGTGATTATACTATGTATTCTAATAACGGATACAATATATATTTCTTAAGAAAATTGCTAGAATCATCAATGGACATGAAATGTACACTAAATTATAGAATGACCCAAATATATAAACATAATTCCTGTTGATTCTATTGACCAGAACAAAAGTACACATTTGTAAGAAATGTACCGGTTATTTGTAAAATATATCAATTTTTTGTACATTATTTACTTGTGCTCAAACATCTATCATTTATTAATGTCAAAACTTTTAAGTGCATATATTTTTGTAAGGTCAAATGTATACACGCTTAACATGTGATGCATTTATTATCTTCATTAAATTAATGTTATTAAGAGATTTAAATGATCTTCTTAAGTCTCTATTTTGCTCTGTATTCTTGCCTTCACTTCCTTTGTTTTTGCTATTAATTATACACAAAGTGTTCGAGAAATTAATAAATGCCAAACCAAACAAATCCAGAGAAAACAGACCAAAAGTAACCCTAAACAAACCCCAACATTTTCCACTTTCCACAAACTACATTACAATTTGACTCCGAGTCAAATGATTTATCTGTTTACACACCCGACTGAAGGTTACACTAAAAATACTCTCTCGGCATGACCTCGGATGTCATACTACAGGATGCACAAACAAATACAATCACACACAACAAGTGTCCTTCAGGTACAGTGTTCTTTATTACAAAATGAGGAGTCTGAAAGGCAAATCTGTGTGTTTGTGTGTGTGAGAGACAGAAGCGATTATAGAAGCAAAGAGAAAAATGCTCAAAGCCCCCAGAGTGCAGCGTTTAAACCTCCCCATGCTAAGCTAACAGAGTTTCTCCTTTCGGGTTAGTCATCTGACCGATGGCATCACAAGACTACTGCTGCAAATGAAAAGCCGCTCAGTACAGACAGCCTACAGCACATACGGAACACGCTAAATAACTAGAAAACAGGATATATGAGCTCAATCAAGTGATGGCTGTAAATGGAAGAATTTCAGCTCGTAAAATGGGACAAAACGTTGAATCAATATATAAATATATATATATATATATATTGGCTTATTTGTTAAATATACCATCAAGAGTTTACTAACAGCTCGACTGTACCAATCTCATGGGGTTTACACTGATTGATTTGTATTTCTATGTGTGTGTGTGTGTGTGTGTTGTTCAGTCCTACTACAGCGAGTCGCTGGTCTCCAGACCCAGCCTGGTCACGTCGGCGTGGGGAGGATCATTGTCCTCGTCCTCTTCATCATCTTCATCTTCATCATCCTCACTGTGACCTCCCATCATGACCTGCTGCATGGCCAGCGTAGCTCCATCTGATGAGAGCGTGTGTAGTCCATCCTCACCTACACCGACTGTTACCATGGTACCTGAGTATCACAAACAAAACTATTCTAATCTTGAAATATAGGCAATTAAATTATAGCACTTAATCATTATTTATGCAAAAAGAAGTTATTAATCATCGATCATTAATCGGGTCTAACAAACAAAAACAACTTAAATTCAAACTGTCAGAACATTCTTTCTTAGCTTGAGTAGCTCTGCGCTCTGATAATATGAGGTTTTCATTATATTTCAGTCTCTACAGATCTGGATGTTGTCAATTAGATTAACCTGTTAGCAGAATTACTATTAATAAAAAATAAAAATAAAAGATTATTAACTGAAAATAATTTCGAAATGCATAAATTATTAATCCATACACACTGTATCATTAAATATTAAAAGGGGTCATATGATGCGATTTCAATTTTTCCTTTCTCTTTGGAGTGTTACAAGCTCTTGGTGCATAAAGAAGATCTGTAAAGTTGCAAAGACTAGAGTCTCAAATCCAAAGAGATATTCTTTATAAAAGTTAAGAGTCAGCCACGCCTACCTAAGACGGCTCGTTCTAACACGCCCCCACATATCTACCTCACTATGTGGGAAGATTTGCATAACGCCGCCCAAATGTTCATGCAAAGAAAGAAGGCGTAACTTTTATTCTTGCTGTAGTTTTGTTGTAGTTCTACCGCCACCATGTCGTGAAGGCGCTGTGTTTCATTGTGAAAGCGAAACTACTTTGTTTGGTCTTCCAAAAGAGGACGATATCCGCTTCGTCATGCCTGGAGCTGATCCGTGCTGGTCGCTGAGGAAATACTTCAACTTCACGCTGTGGATCACCGGATCGGCTTTCACCGTGGACAAAGCGGAGTCCAGCCCGGGGTCGTCACATGTGCTTGCTGCAAGCCCGCTCCTTCGTCGAATCCACGGGCTGTACCGTCTTCCATGGTGACCTGCTGCTGGGACACAGAGGCGGCGAGGGAGTTGGGCCAGAAGCGTTGTAGGGGGCGCGTTTGGGGCGTCTTCTTTTTGTTCTTGGGTGTGTCTGAGGAGCTGGCATCCAGCATGGGCTGAAGGATCCGTCGCCGTGCGTTAATAAACCTGAAGACATTGAGCCAGTAAGTCAGAGGCGATCCAGTCGACTACACGGACCTGCATACTGTATGTATCAATGTCTGATAACTCACCAGTTGTTAACCTGCAGCAGGGTGAGGTTGGTCTGCAGGGCGATCTGTTTCTTCTCATCTTCTGTAGGATAGGGGTGCTGGGAGGGACAGACATAAGAAAGGTCTCACATCTTCTCTCTCTGGGTCCACTCATATCCACTCTCCATATGTTAACTGTCTCTTTCTCCGCTTCATTAGAACAATGTCTCTCTGTGGGCCGCCTGACAGAAAACTGCCCCGCCGGGCTCTTCAGCGATCACCACTCTTCTCAGATGAGCAGCTGACGTTTGTGAGAGTGTAAATGTACATATGTGTCTGCTTCATGAGCCAGTCATCAACACCTACCAGCTCATTTCATTCATCTGTACATTTAAAAACAAATTCAACTTGAATTCAAGCTGTCATAACATTTTTCTCAGACTAGCTCTGTGGTCTGATAAGAACTTTTTATTATATTTCAGCAGATTCAATTAACAACACTACAACTAAAATAGTTTTTCAGTTAAATTAAGAAATTTAAGATTATTACATTAAAACAATTAAATTATTTACAAAGAACAAGTTTTTTTATTTAAAAAATATAAATATATATATATATTTTTTGCATCATAGGAAGTGCTTGTGTTTAATATAGACTACTGGTTAAAAGCTTGGGGTCAGTAATTAAAAATAAAAAATAAAATTAATACTTAATGATGAAAAGTGACAATTAAGCCTTTTACATTGCTATTTTTAATTTTTAAATAAATGCTTTTTTACCCTTTATTCTTCAAAGAATCCTGAAAAAAAATGTCCACTAAAATATTGCGCAACACAACTTTTTTCAACATTAATGAAATGTTTCTTGAGCAGCAAATCGGCATATTAGAAGGATTTCTAATAATGATGCAAATAATGGAGTAATGATGCTGAAAATTCAGCTTTGCCGTCACAGGACTAAATGGCATTTTAAAATATAATCAAATATAAAACAGTTATTTTAATTTGTAATAAAATTATTTGACTGTATTTCCTATTAAATAAATGCCACCTTAGTGCGCATAAGAGCCTTCTTTCAAAAACATTAAAAATCTTACCAACCCAAAACCTTTGAATGGTAATGTACATCCATTATACCTACTTAGGACCATTTTTATTATTTGCTATTATAATTATTAATAATATTTTTTTTATTATTACTGATAACAGTGGACCAATAATATTATAATTTTACAACAAAATATTCCTATTATACATTACTTTCCTACACCTTATTCATTACATTTGAGATATTGGTTGTACTGTATTTATCACTGAAGTGAACATGAAATGCTGTTTGTAACCCGTTTTTTATGTGACTGGATATTCAATGAGAAAAAAGGAATGTCAGGCGATAAAGCAGGGGGCTCTGGCACTTGGTGTGAATAGTGAAAAATCCTTTGTGATGGTTCACTCTTTCTGACACTATAAAACAGGGAAGGACAGAAAAAACTTACACCGATGTGCTGGAAGAGCCAAGAACGCATGACACTGGTGGCGTGTTTGGGCAAGATGCCTCTCTTGGCCTTAGACGAATTGTCCTCCTGACTGAAAAAGTGTAGATCCTGGTTCAACTGCAGCTGAAGCTGTGGGAAAAAATAGCCGTGGCTGTCAGGAGTGTGTGCATTCATACTGTAATAGATTATGAAGATGTGCTGGTGAATAGTTGAATCAGCACATCAAAGAAACTCTGAACACCGGAATAACTGCATGAAATGAGCGTGCTTGTTGACAGTGTCTCACCTGTGAGTTCTGGATGCGTATTGTTCCAGGTGACAGAGTCTGTGTGACCACCTGCCCCTGTGGAGTGACAACTGTAACGGGCTGATATACTGTACCGCCTGGGCAAAACAAACACACTCACACAGTCAATATACAGTACGATGAAATGAGAATCAGTGAGCAGAAGTAAAACAATCAACAAACCTGTTAGCACCTGTGTGGGGTTTACAGCTGTGACAGTAACATTGCCTTGTTGTAAAGCCGATGCTGGTACTACAATACCTTGAGGACTCATGGCTCCAGAGAACGAGCTCTGCGGCTGTGAAGAGAACATGTGCACAACGGTTGTTTCCTGAGCAGAGATGGAGGCAGGTTTCGACAGTGTTTTCGACCCGTGTGTACCTGTATCTGTGTTGGGGAGTAGGGGCTTCCTGGCTCTCCGCTGAGCAGCGTCTCGCTGTTCATCTTGGTCTTGAGGCAGGCGATGTAGCGGCTGCAGAAATCTTTACACAGGTCATTCACCTTCTCCAGCTCCAGCAGGTGAATCCGTAACACCTGGATGGCCTTCACCATCTGAGGTCGATGAGAAAGCACAGTACAGCCAACAATCATCATCAGAAAGATCAGAGAGAACTTATTGAACTGCTAGAGGTGAACCCTGAATACGACCCACTGTACAAGACCCTAAAACTCTATTTTAATTTCCTCACCATTCACGTAGACTCAGATGGACACTCAAATGAGCATGTTAAAATTCAAATATTTATTATTATAATGTTTTAGAGCTGATGCTGATTAAATCTTTAATATTGACTGATAAGTGATATTTCATGCATTCCTAAATGTATACGCTGCTGATCAAAAGTTTTTTTTTTTAATTATTAGTTATATTCAGCAAGGATGCATTAAATTGATCAAAGGTGACAGTAAAGACATTTATAATGTTATGGCTGTTACATTTCTAAAAGATTTCAAATAAATGCTTTTTAATTACATGTATGTAAATTATTAATCATTCGATTATTAAATTAAAATAAATTATTTACAAAGAACAAAAGTTTTTACATTAAACAAATCTTACATGGTTTGCAGCAAAGGTAATTTCTTTGTGTTTAATATACACTACTATACAAAGTTTGTTTTTCCAGAAATAGATTAATAATTTCAGAAAGGATGCATTAAATTGACCATACTTTTACATTGTTAAAAGTATTTCTGTTTTCAGATAAATGCTGTTTTTCTATTCATCAAAGAATACTGAAAAAATGTTATCATGGTTTCCACAAAATATACTAAGCAGCAACAGTTTTGAACACTGATAATAATAATAATAATAATGTTTCTAGAGTAGCAAATCTGAATGATTTCTTAAGGATCATGAGACACTAAAGACTGGAGTAATGATGCTGAAAATTCAGCTTTGACATCAAAGGAATACATTTTAATATATATATATATATATTAAAATAGAAAAAAAGTCATTTAAATTGTTATTTTTGATAAAAAAAATGCATCCTTGGTAAGCATAAAATATTTTTTTCAAACTTTTGAAAAGTAGTGTAAACACCAAAAACTATGTGTTAAAAAAAGTTCAACAGGCGATTCTTACCAGATTGTCCAAATCGGGGTCCTCACTGAAGAAAGCCTTGCCTTCTTTCTCCTGGTTTCGCACAAAGTTCTCGATATCCACATCGAAACTGGCCGAGGTCACGCACTCCGAGCTCTGAGTGGATTGCTCGCATTTCTCAAAGAGCAGCGCCAGCAGGGGGAACAAGGGGTGTCTGACCGTCAACAAACACATCATTTATACATCGAACCACAAATGCATATTCAACTACACTTTCTCAAAAACACGCCACGAGAAAAAAAGCAAGGAAGTTACCTGTAAATGGCCGTCTTGTACACCTCCATAGGACTTTGTGGTTCAGACGGTGCTGAGCTGCTCTCCTCTTCCTCGCTCTCCTCCTCTTCCTCCAACCTCTCCTCCACTTGTCCCGCCGTCTGTTCTCCCACTTGCATCTGCACGGGACACAGGGGCAGGGAATAAAGATGTATGAGGAAGTTTGCAATGTCAGCTGGCATGTCTGCGGGCGGGTAACGTCCGTGTGTGGGCCGCTCTGAGAAACACAGCCTCTCTGTCACAGACCCTAAGGGCTGACATGGGGTTTCAAAGCATGTAACAAAACCTCATTTTTTTAACAAAGGGGTTTCTCTCTCAATCCTCAGACTACTCTATCTTTTTTTCTGGCAGATTTAGAAAGCTTTCACAGATTTAACAGAGTGTTTTTTCACATTAGTTTCAGACTATTTAACAGAAAAACTGAGTAAATACAGAAATACCAGTACATTGAGTGACTCAACATGCAAGATATACAGATATCTTGGATAATTATAATGCAACAATCTATTCGTATATTAAATTTAGAATATATAGTACAGTAAGCTAAGTACCCACCAGTTTTGTTGGTTTCTTTTTCTTTGTACTTTATAGTTGGGACAGGCCCACATGATTGAGCGCATGTGATGGGAGCGCAACAATAGTGTTGATTGAAAAAGGGGAAATGTTAAAAATATGTCACGACTGCTGGAAAATCTCGGGTTAGTCTCGAGTCTCTCTATCACTCCATCTGATGCCTCAGAGATCAGACTTCCCAGAATTCACAAGACATCAATCTCAGATTGTGAGACGTCTTACTTGCATGTTTACAAGACGCTTATTGATTTTTTACAGCAATATAAAGATGCTTATCGCTTTATTTAAAAGGGCAATTAAACACACTCACGCAAAACAAAAACAGTACTCCATTGGCTGTATGAAGAGCTCTTTGGCAACACAAACCTGTTCAGCCTCTTGGTAATCCTCCATGGACACCGATGGGGATGTCATCATTGTTAATGTTGCTGCGGACAACGCTTGGGCATTCTATAAAGCTGATCTTCAGCTCCTCTGAGCTGACACAGTCACAAACAAAGACAAAGATTTATGTGGAAAAACTGAAAAACAGCTGCTACCCTTTACCAGAAAAATATATATTATTCTCCTATAAACAATGAATATGAATTCTATCTGCCAAACTTACAATATTAATCTTATTTTAAAAAAACACACTTATAAATCTTACAAAAATGCACTGGACTTTTGCCAAAGACTATAGAATAATGAGTATTTTTCTGCTTCATAACTAACTATTTTTACTCTTACTTTAAAATGTTTAACTTATTATTATTATTATTTATTTCTTGTATTTGTACAGGACACAGAGACAAAATCCTTGTACATGTATACTCACAGTACTTGGCAATAAAAGTGATTCTGATTCTTTATAAAAGGGCCATTCAGTGCTTTATTGACATGCAAATATAGGTCAGGCAAATTAATCAATATTTAAAGCTACTTGTGAATATTAATATTTGTATTTGGACATTATAACCAGCATATAACTCTGCACACTTACGCAAATAACGGTAGTTTTACTATCTGCCTTACCTAACTGAATAATTAACATTTTGTTTTCAGTTTTGATTAAATTATTATAGTAAATAGTGTGTAAAATAACTGTTTAATTCCACATTTCATTTCATACATATATCTACATTATACGGGTAATAAATCATCTTGCTGTATAAATGGGTAATTCCTGGGATTCGGTAGTATTTCAGTCCCCCAGAGTTTCTAAAGTGGTGGTTCACCAAAATGAATTGTTAGGAGCTTTTCACAATACTTTGGTATGCCCATTATAATGAATAAATATAGGTAATGCATTTTAATATTTTTAGCATAAAATAATATCTTGTATCTATCGTAAACCAAGCATTTTGTCATGTCCCTGAGCCACTTCACTGAGTTTGTACTTAGAAAATGATTAACAAAATGTGCATATCTGTGGTTTTTGGTAATAATGTAAGCATTTATTTGTGTTCCTTTCGTGTGAAATTTTTTTTTTCTAAAAAAATGCTAGATATTTTATAAAAACCAGACTTTAAATTTATGTCCCTCAGTCTGAACTCAACCCTGTCACACTAACCATTCTATGCCCATAATAATTAATACTCCACTCACATGTGACATAATTTACCAGAAATTACATAATTCAGGTCTTTTTAATAGTGGTGCAGAAAATGGTTAGTAGTATCATACTTTTTATTCATATTTTTGAGCCATATTATAGTCAGGGAGGGTACTGTCAAGCTAACCAACTCAACCCTGTCACACAAAATTAAGATGGAAAATTAAAAATTTTTCAACATTTTATTTTAACCCTTAAGTATATATATTGTATTGCTGCCATGTATGGTCTGCTCTCCTACACTACATACGGAACAGTAGCCATTTTGAGTGAAAAACCACAACCCTGTCATAAATATACAGTGGGTACGGAAAGTATTCAGACCCCCTTAAATTTTTCACTCTTTGTTATATTGCAGCCATTTGCTAAAATCATTTAAGTTCATTTTTTTTCCTCATTAATGTACACACAGCACCCCATATTGACAGAAAAACACAGAATTGTTGACATTTTTGCAGATTTATTAAAAAAGAAAAACTGAAATATCACATGGTCCTAAGTATTCAGACCCTTTGCTGTGACACTCATATATTTAACTCAGGGGCTGTCCATTTCTTCTGATCATCCTTGAGATGGTTCTACACCTTCATTTGAGTCCAGCTGTGTTTGATTATACTGATTGGACTTGATTAGGAAAGCCACACACCTGTCTATATAAGACCTTACAGCTCACAGTGCATGTCAGAGCAAATGAGAATCATGAGGTCAAAGGAACTGCCTGAAGAGCTCAGATACAGAATGGTTGCAAGGCACAGATCTGGCCAAGGTTACAAAAAAATTTCTGCTGCACTTAAGGTTCCTAAGAGCACAGTGGCCTCCATAATCCTTAAATGGAAGACGTTTGGGACGACCAGAACCCTTCCGTTTTCTCATCACCTGTCCAATACAGTCCCAACAGTGAAGCATGGTGGTGGCAGCATCATGCTGTGGGAGTGTTTTTCAGCTGCAGGGACAGGACGACTGGTTGCAATCGAGGGAAAGATGAATGCGGCCAAGTACAGGGATATCCTGGACGAAAACCTTCTCCAGAGTGCTCAGGACCTCAGACTGGACCGAAGGTTTACCTTCCAACAAGACAATGACCCTAAGCACAAAGCTAAAATAACGAAGGAGTGGCTTCACAACAACTCTGACTGTTCTTGAATGGCCCAGCCAGAGCCCAATTGAGCATCTCTGGAGAGACCTAAAAATGGCTGTCCACCAACGTTTACCATCCAATCTGACAGAACTGGAGAGGATCTGCAAGGAGGAATGGCAGAGGATCCCCAAATCCAGGGTTCGAAAAACTTGTTGCATCTTTCCCAAAAAGACTCATGGCTGTATTAGATCAAAAGGGTGCTTCTACTAAATACTGAGCAAAGGGTCTGAATACTTAGGACCATGTGATATTTCAGTTTTTCTTTTTTAATAAATCTGCAAAAATGTCAACAATTCTGTGTTTTTCTGTCAATATGGGGTGCTGTGTGTACATTAATGAGGAAAAAAAATTAACTTAAATGATTTTAGCAAATGGCTGCAATATAACAAAGAGTGAAAAATTTAAGGGGGTCTGAATACTTTCCGTACCCACTGTATGTATTTCTCATTGTTACGGGGTTGTAAACTTGTGACAGGGTTGAGTTATTTACTTCATTTATTAATAATTTGAATGAAAAAAATATAAAAGTCACGATTTCTTGATGTAATATGTCCACTTAAACTTTGACAAGCATCATACATCAGAAATTGCACCCACATTTGCAGCAGAAAGACAATGTTGGCCATGCAGATATGTTGACCCTGAAACAAGGGGGACAATATGGGAGAGAAACAAAACCAAAAATTTCCATTGAAGGCAATGTATCCCTTCAGATGTGTTACGGTCTTCAACCCCATCACACCTTGTCACATTAATATTTTTGGAAAAAATTAAGAATGAAAGCATTTCTTGCTGATTACCATCTGACATGTTAAGGACTAAAACAATAAAATTGTGGTTTTAGTTAAACTTCTAAATTAAAAGTATTTTTTTTTACAAAAATAAAGAGACCTTAGACATACAATTTGTGTATTTTTAGCTTCAGTCCCATAAAATTTTTTAAATTATGATGTTACATTTGTTATCATTAAATTGTCAGGAGGGACACATGAGCAGTAGGTAGATGTTTGTTTCATAACAAATTCTGTGCAAAATCATTTTTTAAACCAATCCCATTTTGTCCATAACGGGGTTGAGGGAAAAAGTGTGTCTAAATCTGGGGGGAAAAAACACAAATAATAAAAGGTCTTTAATGCCTGAGGTGGGAAAATATGATTTTTTTGGAGATCTGATATGTGCCTACTGATGTGGGGTATTTAGAAAATGAATCATATGTAGTTTAAAAAAAATGTATATTCCAAGTTGAAATGTTACCGAATCCCAGGAATGACCCAAATAATACCTGTAACGTTATCACTTAAAAACGCATATCAGTTTTTATTGTATTTTCTGCAGGCGCTGTGAATCAAAACTTCGTGCTTTACATAGAAGTGAGACAACCATGCATAAAGTCCTGTTTGATTTGATGCATGACATTCATTTGCTTCAAAATGAACTTGTATGCTGAACTGGACAAACATCTGCAGTGGTCTTTGCGAACAGGCGAATACAAATTGGCGATATAAATAGTAACATCTCTAAATATCGCCTTGATGTAACGTATCTGCACTGCAACACGACTTCAAGGAGTGATTCGCTTTGAATGGGCTTAGAAAAACAGTCAATATCTACATCTAAAAAGAATTATTTTCTCGTAATGTGGCTTTAAATCTCCGTCATGGTCTACTTCTTCAGCCACAGATGACTGTATCTCATCCTCTCGATTACTGTAGGCGCCATGTTTGTACTGTGTCTGTTGCTTATATGCTCATCTCTGTATAGTGTTTTTATACGAAGCGCCAGATAATGGGGCAATTAATATATAATTACAGTACGTCACCTGCGTCATCATGCAAAAACACAAGCCGCCTTGACTTTTCGCTTACTTATTAAAAACATCGTCTCTGTCTCTTTAAATATAATAAAAAGCCTGCCCATTATCGCCTATCAATCAATCTAAGGGACGTCGGGCTATCCCTCCCCACCAGTGCAGCCGCCATTCGCACTTCTACAAAAGACCATAAAAAAAGAGCTGGGCCTCGACTGTGTGTCGAGCCAGAGAATCCTCCGAAACCGCCGTCCAAACGTCTGATTTCAGCCTAAAACCGTGCAGACCGCGCGCCTCCCACGGAAGCGCCGAGTGCCTTTTTAGCGCGCGGCCCATATCGCTTGATTGATAGGGAGTCGGAAAAGAAGAGTTTGAGTGACAGCTTACCTTAGTGCCAATCTTCGTCACAATGACAAGCGGCTGCAGCAATCGGGACCCGCAGTTCTTCCATGTCGTCACAGCGTAACGGCACGCAGACAACTTTGCTCATGAATATTTATGAGGTGGGAGGAGACATTACGGTATAGGGAAAAGTGCTCGCCCCTTGAGACTTCTGTGGGGACAATGTAACGTGTATGTTATAAAATACATTTTGTAAGGTGCTCGGTAGTTTTAATTAGTAATTCGGAGCGTTAAAAAAAATAATTAAATCACAGTGTGAAAATGTTAAAGTTTTTGTAACGTGTATGTTATAAAATACATTTTGTAAGGTGCTCGGTAGTTTTAATTAGTAATTCGGAGCGTTAAAAAAATAATTAAATCACAGTGTGAAAATGTTCAAGTTTATTTTTTGCTTTCCCTTTCTTTACCGATAGCAGGTCTGTAACCACAAATATTTTAGCCATTTATAATCAAATATTAGTGCCTCTTAAAACATATCATAAATGACATACTTCTATGACAATGTCATGGTGTGCTTTTCATTTTGAGCTGCTTTCATCCAGTACAGGCTCTGAAAAGGAAGAATGAGTTCATTTAATAATCATTCTAAATGCGCAGCAAAAATGCGGTAACTCAAACAGGATAAATGCAAAAATACACCCACCAGAGAACTTAAATTCTGGGAACTTGGTTAAGTCTCCACTCCCATAGAGTCTCTGGAGTTTGGTTAGTTCTTCACTTAAAGCGTTCTCATATTCTGGTCCAGCATCTACAGGGCCACCAGAGGCTCTATGGACAACACGAACAAGTTTAAACATGGAAAAATGTGCTATTAAAAATATATGAGAAGTCTGGTATATATCGGAATGCATGGAATGTTTTAATGTTATTTGATTTATGTATATACTGGCTCTTTGTAGAGTATTCCCTTAGCTTGTCGAGAAAGAGTCTCTGTATTGAATCCAGTTGTGCTGCAGATGTGAAAGAAATTCCTGTTAGTTGTTACATATATATATATGCAATAATTCTAAAATGTCAATATTTAATTAATACTTTCATTATGTACTTGGATGATAAAATTCTGACTATAATTCTACTGCATTGCATGCTTAAATAAATTAAAAAAACTATTTTTACCTACCAATTCATTTGAACTTATCACAATAAAAGTATTTGCATTTTAGAATGCAAAAAAGCAACAACAACAAAAAAAAACGTAATAAAGGATGTCAAGAGACAGGCATCAGTCCATTCTCTTGTGGTAAAGATCAGAATAGCTCAAAAGAAACAACGCCTTCGCAGCTCTGTGACTTTACCACAGAGAAACCCATGCTGATTAAATACAGGCATCAGTGTGAGCAAATATTTGTGTTATGGGAAAATGTTTACAGATGCTGTACACATATAAACTTTCACTTCGTTGTTACAGCAGGTCAGTTCTTAAATGCAGACATCTGTCCGATTAGAGACTAAACCCTCCTGCTTATGTTTGTGTGGCATCATGGCAGGTCTTTTGTTTATTTTAGGGGGGACAAATCTTTAAATACTGCTAAAGCTAAAATCCCAGAAGTTAGAACTAGACAACTGAGTAAAAACAGAATGCAAAAGAATTCTAGTTCTAAACTATGTAATGAACCTTAGCATTTTCTGCAAAAATAAATACATTTAAAAAAAATTATAATAACAAATGCATGATATGCAGCAAACATGACAAGAAGCAACCAAAAACAAAAATGAAAGATTTAAAGATAATGCCTCTGTGTTGCACTATAACAACTTAAAAGCAACGATGCAAGTAAATGTATTTCAACAATGAAGTGCATAAAATTATACATTTATGAATCTTAACTTTATGATAATAAAACATGTGCAATATCTTGGAGTAATTTCCCACAAATAACTGTCCACAAAAGAATAGGGAGGGTGCATAAACGACAACATAATATTCCTATTTTTGGAAAATATGGATTTATGTATTGAATGCAGGAAGGGTGACACGTACCCTCAGTCAACTCCTCAGTTGCCTCTGTCTGTTCCTCTTCCTCTAAAACATCAGTTTGCACTAGAATTGGGTCCTTCAGACTGATGGATCGCTGAGCATCACCAGCCATTTCCGACAGAGGATCTACCTTCACGGCTTTACTTAGAGAGACAGATGTGGTCTCAACAATAGGAAGATCCTCAATTGATTGAGGTGAAGAGACTTCAGGCATGGGGTCAAAGACCTGAATGGCTTCTTCATGGCAAACGTCTCGAAGGGTTGGAACTTCTCCAGAAGTAACTGCCACAGCTTCAGCACTAGCAATATCTAGTATGGAGTCAGCTGTGCCCTCTGGAAAAGACCCAACTGCCTGATCTATGATCTCTTGGCCAGAAGATGGTTTGTCTGCTTTGACACTTGAAGACCAAGTGGGAGCTAGAAAGTCTTGAGACTGAGTGAACTGAGACTGTGAAGAGTACTGTGCAATGTTTATAAAAGTTGATGCACTGATCACTGCAACCACTTCTGAAACATCAAAAGGCTCCTGACTGTTCTCATGTGCAGATGAAACTTGAGGAGTTGCCATAACTTTGGAAGTCACCATAACATCAGGCATGTAAACTCTTCCATCACTAGTTTCTCCAGCATGTTTTTCAGAGGCAGAAGCAACATCATCATAAAATGGAATGACTTCTGAGAGGTTTGCTGAAGACAGCTCAAAAACTTGACTGATATTTGTTGTCATCTCTCCTTGAGTTGTAGCCTCTTGTGGAGCATTAATTGTGGGCGATTCTACAGCTGACTCAACAGCTTGGGGTGCTGCATCTTTTGCATTCATTATTTCAGTGTATGTCTTATTATGCAGACCTTCCATGGCCATTTGGTCAACATCTTTTGAATATGCAAAATTCACAGGAGAATCGACTATGGCAGTGCCAGGTGCTGAATAACTATCCACAGCATCTTTTGCTGGAAGGGTGCTGGCAGAAGTTTGAATTTTTGCATTGGAAATAATCATTTCTTTGGCATCACTCCGGTCATTCAATTTATCTGGTGTAGCCGGTTTGGTTGAACTAGTAGCAGCTTTCAATGCAGAAGCAGTGATCACTGATTGTTTCTTCTCTTTGGTCTCCTTGGCCTTTTGCTGCAGTAATTTGGCAATATCGATTATAGTTTTTGGTTTTGCCTTCTCTAGGGTAGAGACAACATTATATTAACGCATATAATAAAAGCAAGAAGCAAACTCACTCAAATAACTTGCTGAAGAGTAATGCAGAATAAGCCCCTATAAATGCACTAACCAAGTCAACATGTAAAAATAAGGTTTTCAAAAGGAGGATTTTGCCATGCTGCAATAGAAGAACATTTTTTGGTTCCCCAAAGGACCTTTCAGCAAAAATGTTCTGAAAAGGGTTTTTTTTACTATGAAGGACATTTTAATAATCTGAAGAACCTTTTATGAAGAGCCTTTTGTGGAATGGAAAAGTTCCATGGATGTTAAAGATTCTTAAAGGGGTGGTTCACTGGTTTTTTTCTAGGCTTGATTGTGTTTATGGGGTGCAGTCTAACATGTATTAATGCTTTGTTTTTTAAAAAACGCATAATTTTTCACATAATTTACCTTTATTCCACACCGCTCTGCCCCTTCTCTGAGAAACATGCTGATCATTTCCTTCTTTTATGAAGCCCCTCCCTCAGAAATAGGTGATGGGCTCTGATTGGTTAGCTAGCCCAGTGTGTTGTGATTGGCTAAACCGCCTCTAGTGCGAGTCTAAGCATCCCGCCCCTCTCCTCAGCTGCATGTTCTCCGGTTGTATTGTAAACAATGGCGTAGTTAATATCGCTTATCAGTTTGAGCCCGATTGAGAAGCAGAGGATATTATTGAAGAGGATCGTGCAGAACCTGTGCAAGCACGGCTTTTAATGGTAGGCCTATGTTTTTTGTTTGTTGTTGTCTCATACTTTTAGATACACTGGTATTTGTACATGCTACTACTTTTGTTAGCTTTTAATATACTAGAACATTGATTTTGAAACTTGTGAATCCATTAGAATCGTTAGAAGACAGAATCGCGTTTCATATATGAATAGATTTTTACGTGCACCTCTAGTTTTCTCTTCCTCTTCTCTAAAGAAGCGCAGCATGGCCTCGCCCCCTTTGTTGCCTTTTCCCGAGGGCGGGGTTTATCTGGGTTTGTGATGTCACGAACCCGGGAAGTAACTCGTTGTAGTCCCTACCAGCCATTTTTGTAGGCATTAAACTGCCAGAATTTTAAAAGACGATATCTCCGTTTGCATTGAACTTTCAGCTTCGTAACTTTGCAGATATTGTTTATGCTCAAACAGCAACATTACACACTAACGCAATGAACCACCCCTTTAATGGAATCATAGACGCAAAGAAGTGCCTCAATATTTCTAAAATAAGACACCACACAACAAAAAGTACTTACTTATACTTGTATATCTGACAGGCTTCTTGACATTGTTTGCTTTGGTGCAGAGTTGTGACAATGGAGAGACGTTCCTTTGAATCCAACTATCCAACCAAAGGAACTAAATTAAAGAAACACAGTCATATAATTTGCACCATAGTCTAGATCTCTGTAATACCCTGCCATCCATTTTTCCATTCGCTGACATCTGAACAAGACATTTGTAAAGAGTTGGACAAAGCTGTACATATTCTTATAATAAGAGGGTGAACTTCAGATTTTTGTTCCAAAAATAACTTACAAAAACACCTCACAAAAATAACTTGCTTCTTATTATTAATTTACTTGTTGTGCTGTCAATTAAAATCATGGGTACCACTATATATATTTTTTGAAACAAGGTAACGTTACACACACAAAACACACATTCTTGTTAATAATTGAAATATTTTTTCTACACCACCCCCAGTACACACCAGTAAGCTGAAAGGGAGGGCTCATGCTTTAATTTGTCATGCTAGGTTAATTTTCTATTAGACAATGGTTTATGAAAAGTACCATTTGATACTTCGTGCCTTCACTGATTTTAAAACAAGCACTGGGCGAGGAAGTCACATTAGACTTTTTATTGAATTCGCTTTTAACTTGAGTGACTGACAGTGTACCTTCATAACCCTTAGCTGCCGAACTCTCTGGAAGGACATTGCCGCGATTATCCCAAAGAAGTCGACGGCTTTATGGTGGAAAAGCAAACACACGGTTACCTAAGAGGACAGTGAACAAAACACTCGCGACTGCTCGTCGAGATGCAACATTCGTACACAATATTAGCGACAATATACATGGTCTTGTGGTAATTCAGCGTTTTACCCTCAGTGTTGCTCTTTCGCCTCGTCGACCGTGTTTTTCATAGACGCCGCTTGTTGTTTATTTGTCCTCGTTCAATGGTCGTTAAAATTGGATTCAAAGGCTCTCATTTAACAACGCCTCTATAGACGATAAAAGCAAAACTACTGTACAACAAGGACAAACACATACACAAAGATAATTTAGTTGTTTTTCAAATTGTTCCGTGAAGCCTAAAGACGTCGTGTAATCGTACTGAGTTGACACGCCTCCTGAGAAACATGCTTATTATAGCCATTAGAAGAAAGTAAAGTACTTTGATAAACTTTGAAAACCGTGGCATTCTTTTAACCAAACACTCGTTTTGACAGCATAATAAACCTGTATGCAACGAAAAAATTATTTGCATTACATCTTGGTCCAATTGAATTTTATTTGCAACATCAAGACAACACACTGCTTCTACACATTGATAACAATACGCTGTCATCAACATATTTACTTCTCAGTTTGTAATATATTATACTCCATTCAAAGTTTTAAACATAGACACATATTATTACCGTTCAATCAATGGGGCTTTGCTCATTAAAAAACAATGAAGGTGAGGGCAAATGTACAGTGTGCGTGATAAAAGATGAGGGAAGAAGGGAAAGAGGGGAAAAAGAGCAGAAAAGATGTGACCATGACCCCTTGCATTGTCTGAAATATTCTTTGAGATGAGGTTTGGGGACAGTGACCCAGCAGAAAGCATTCAAAGCACTAAAAATCCCCCTCTCTCATATATACGCACATACACACACATAGAAAAACCAAGTGGAATAACTTGCTGGCCCAACCGTAGCTGTTTTCCATGATCACTCTGGCATCTCACTAGCACAGCCGTGGAATATTAATGTGTACATTGCATCTAGAGAGGAAAACACACAAATTTAACAAAACCAATCCCCCTGCTTCAGTCCAAAAGGAAACAGCACCTTTCTCAGACTCAGTAGTGTGATAACTGAGGGCAAATGAAGAAGACCCACACAAACTCAACATATTTCATCTTCCATGTAAAAACAGTGGGCTCGTTCTAAGACATATCTGAAGAACTGAAGACATTTGCAGCAGATATGGATGAAGATTGATGCCTTTTGCTCACTGGTTCATTGTTTCAACTTGCCAAACCTTTAACACTATAAACCAGCTTGCTAGTTTTCTGCAAATAAATAACAAAAAAAGCAAATACAAAATATTAACTCTGACATCTGTTATTTTTACAAATATGACATAACTACAGTGTTGATCACTAACACCTAACAGCACAAGAATATATATATATATAAAAAAATCAACATAAATCAAAAACAAACTGTGAACTTATTAGTAATACAGTATCAAACTGAAATATAGTACTATATATTAAATAGTTTACTTTGTAATGGCCTTTCAGGGACATTTGACAAATATATGTTATTTTATTCTAATCATTTGCTTCTGATCAACCTTGCTGCTATGATATTTCAGTTGGCCTCTGAAATGTGTCCCATTCTCAACAACATAAAAATAAATAAATGCTGAAAAACAAATATAACGATTTCCCTCCCAGAATTCATTTAGTTTATATTAAAATAGTCTTCCCATGAAGCATCTGTGGCCATATCGTTTCGAGACTTGCTGAAAATTTCCCTGAACAAGCTCACATTTAACAGAACCTCAAAACATCTGGACTTCATTCAGCTGTTGAACGGTCACCAAATATCTTTCAGTAAAAACAGAAAACAAATAAATGAGTCGATTGACACTCGAGAGGTTTGCCAGCAAAACCTGGTTTTAGTTTTTAGTGTTAATGACTAAAATTATGGAATAAAATGTTGTACAGCCAGTAAGACTATAAGGGTGAATCTCACAAAAGCATGTCCAGCTCACACCAAAATCCCCAGAGTATTTTGCATTAAAATATGAGCTATTTCAGGACCATTATATTTTATGATTCTCAATAGATAACTAAAATAGAATAATTTTTTTAATTACAAAGATTTTTTAAATGTAAACCTGCATAAATTAAAAGCAGTACAACATATTTTACCATAATGGAATTAAATATTTTTTCACATTACAGTTATGAGAATTATACATTTTTTAGAATTATGCAAATAAGGTTTCATGAGATTCACCCATAATGATGGATTTCACTGGAATGGCAGTGCAGTAGTGCCATTTGAAACAATATTCTTACAGGTTTTCATTCTAGAATGATCCTGGGTATTCTATAATTCTAATATTGTTTCAAACGGCACTACTGTTCTCGGGTCATTAGAGTGTTAAATACAACTACTGTATGTTTGACTCTTTAAAAATCACAGCATCCTGAGACGTCCTTCACATCATTAGGGAACTGAGAGGTTCCCTCTACAGTACATCATTCATTTTCATTCACACACTTGTCTTGAAAAGGTATCAAGGACAATAAAAATCCAATTGGGATCACCGATTAAGACTGTTACAGCATTTTGCAGACTCACAAACGCTTGCGCAAATACACACATTCACACTCTGGGATTCATGACGCTGGGTGGAGTGGGACTGTCACATCTGGATGGTGGGCTTTCACCACGGAGGAGTAGCGGAAATGGAATCTGGGGGGTCAAAAGGTCAAGTCAAACAACGTGGGTCAGGGTTCGTCAAAGAGCTGGAGGTCCAGTCGCACCACAATCTCTCCCGTAGGGACTTCGTGTAAAAGCAGACGCTTGGTGATGGGCCCCTTAGAGCCCTGGTCCTTCTTGATGTCGGCCAGCCGAATCTCCGTCCTGCCCAAGAAATCTAGAAAGACGTAGAGAGAGAAACATTTTTTTTTATGAATTTATGATTAAAAACTGCCACTCAAAAGTTTTGGGATATTTTTTAATATCCCACCAAGTCTGCATTTATTTGACGTAAAAACAGTAATATTCTGAAATATTGTTACAAGTTAAAATAACTGTTTTAATTAGTTTTTAAGTGTAATTTATTCCTGTGATGCAAAGCTGAATTTTCAGCATCATTACTCCAGTCTTCAGTGTCACATGATCCTTCAGAAATCATTCTGATATGCTGATTTGATGCTCAAGAAACATTTCTTATTATTATCAATGTTGAAAACAGTTGTGCGGTTTCATACGTGGGTCAGGGTTCATCAAAGAGCTGGAGGTCCAGTCGCACCACAATCTCTCCCGTAGGGACTTCGTGTAAAAGCAGACGCTTGGTGATGGGCCCCTTAGAGCCCTGGTCCTTCTTGATGTCGGCCAGCCGAATCTCCGTCCTGCCCAAGAAATCTAGAAAGACGTAGAGAGAGAAACATTTTTATTTATGAATTTATGATTAAAAACTGCCACTCAAAAGTTTTGGGATATTTTTTAATATCCCACCAAGTCTGCATTTATTTGACGTAAAAACAGTAATATTCGGAAATATTGTTACAAGTTAAAATAACTGTTTTAATTAGTTTTTAAGTGTAATTTATTCCTGTGATGCAAAACTGAATTTTCAGCATCATTACTCCAGTCTTCAGTGTCACATGATCCTTCAGAAATCATTCTGATATGCTGATTTGATGCTCAAGAAACATTTCTTATTATTATCAATGTTGAAAACAGTTGTGCGGTTTCATATTTTTTGGAAACAGTGATATGTGTGACCCTGGACCACAAAACCAATACCAAGACAATATTTGGCAGAGATACAACTATTTGAATCGGAGGGTGCAAAAAAATCAAAATATTGAGAAAATCGCCTTTAAAGTCCAAATGAAGCTCTTAGCAATGCATATTACTAATCAAAAATTAAGTGTGAATATATTTACGGTAGGACATTTACAAAATATCTTCATGGAACATGATCTTTACTTAATATCCTAATGATTTTTGGCATAAAAGAAAAATCAATAATTTTGGGCTATTGCTACAAATACACCCCAGTGACTTAAGACTGGTTTTGTGATCCAGGGTCACATATACCTTTTAGGACTGTTTGATGAATAGAAAGTTCAAAAGAACAACATTTATTTGAAATAAAAAAATTTTGTAACAATGTAAATTTACTGTCACTTTTAATCCTTTTAATGGGATTTTGCTTAAGTATTAATTTCTTTCAAAAAAGGTTCTATTGACTTTATTAACATTTGAACACTAGTGTGTGTACACACACACACACACACACACACACACATATATAATTATATGTGAGACTATACATACTGCATACGAAAAGCAAAGTATGTGAATAAGTATACTGACCGTCCGGGGAGAACTGATCCCTCTCAAACACCGTGACACACAGCACATCCTGCTCCAGGTCTTTGATGAAGAACTGGCAGTTTGAGTTCCATTTAGGGTTCAGAGTGTCCTGCAGCGTCTTAGTGACGTGACACTGAGAGCCCATCGTCACCTCACAGTATGGGTTACTCTTCCCTGTACACGCACAATGGCCATTTATGATATAATCAACAGAACTAAAATGTTTACAACCTAGTAAAGCACCTTAAATCTTATTATGCAGTATTCATTCTTTACCATTTGAGCGGCAGGGCTTTAACTCAATGCCTTCAACAATGTTCACCATTAGCCGCCCGATACCAGTGGCCCTCTGAGACCTCACTGCAAACATAACAGAAACACAAAACCAGTGCTTAGCAAACACTCAGGGCATGCATTGCTTTATTAAAGCAGCGAGATGTGAGACAAACCCAAGTAGGCTTTCTCTCTCTTCTTCTTCTCTGTTTCGATGAAGAGCTCAGATGCAGCTTTGATCTTCTGCACCCAAGCCGTCCTGCAGGATTACAGGATGGAAGAGAAGAACATTGTCAAGAGACAGTATATGTGTGTGCTCTTCAAAAATGTCTGAGCATATGTCTCTTGATTAATAGGTACAGTTGTAAATAATACACAAATAATTATCAAATACCGCTCGTTGATGCTCTCAGCCCGTATAGTGTAGACTCTGTCGATGTGAGATATGTGGAATATGGGTTCATCTCCTGAAGGATCAGTGGGCAGCTTCACCAGCACCTCATTGAGAAAGATGGGCTGCAGAGGTCAATGAGTCAGATTAAAGGTCAAGGAATAAATATCATATTAAAGGTCAAAAACTGACTGCAAATAAATAACGGTCTCACCGTTTTGTACATGCGATACTGCAGGTGGGATTTCGCACTGAAGACTTTGTCTGTTCCAGACGAGCCCAGAGGTTTGATGATCTGCGTGAGGAGCAGGAAATCGTTAAACAGGAAGCCGTAAAGCTCCTTGTTGCTTTTGGCTTTGTAGAGTTTTCCACTGTGCAGGAACTTCCGAGGGCCCAGACAGTTTGTAACCGAGTTGAACACAAGTTGCTGTAAAGAGAGAGAAAAACCTTTATTACAGAGAATTCATCTAGATTGTCATGAGAAAACAACTTGATAAATACTGTTCAAAAGTTCAGGGTACGTAAGATTTTAATTTTTTTGAAAGAAATTAATAGATTATTTTAGCAACGATGCATTAAATTGATAAAAATTGACAAAAGATTTATAATGTCACAAAAGATTTCTATTCCAAACAAATGCCGTTATTTTAAACATTCTATTCATTAAAGAATCCTTTAAAAATGTTTCCACAAAAATACGAAGCGGCACAACTATTTTTAACATTGATGGTAATTAGAAATGTTACTTGAGCAGCAGATCAGCATATTAGAATGATTTCTGAAGGATCATGTGACGCTAAAGACTGGAGTAATGATGCTGAAAATTCAGCTTTGCCATCACAGGAATAAATTACATTTTAAAATATTTTCAAATGAAAACAGTTATTTTATATTGTAATATAGGTTTTACTGTATTTTTGATCAAATAAATACAGCCTTGGTGAACATAAGAGACTTTCAAAAACATAAAAAAAATCATCCCAACCTCAAACTTTAGAATGATGACAACTATTGCACCACTTTCATGTTTTTTTTTGTTTTTTTTTACTGGTGCATACAAAAATAGTCTCTTGAAAAGCTAATTAAATACAATCCAGTGAAAACAGGTTTATTTCACTGAGTGAGCCTGTCTATGGACTGTGATAATGCACCAGGTTTGTGTTACCTCCGACAGCCCCTCACACTGCACATGTGCCTGGATCCACTCCAGCCGGTCTGAGTTTTCTTTCTCTCGCACGCCTTCGTTGACTTGTGAGCACAGCTCTTCAGCCTTCTCCAGAGCCAGCCGCAGGTGACTGTGGTCCGGGTGGCTCTCTGGAGTGTTCTCTAAAATCTGAGCGTGAGGGGAGAAAAAACATGAGATGATGGGTCTAGATACATGAAGCCAAAGGGAAGTGATGTCAAAGTAGAAGAGTGCAGATGGTTTATGTGCTTTTGTAGTGTTTGTTTTCAATGTGTTACCGGTTCTTCATATAGTAGTTTGGAAATAGTTGATTATCAAGATTGTGTACATACGTTTTTGATGATGAGGGGGTATCGGGTGACTCTCTGCATGGGTTTGAGGAGGAAACTGGACAGGGGCATTCCCTTACAGCGAGGGTCCATCGCCAACCTCTGTAAAACATACAAACATGCATAAAGATTGAGAAAAAAAAAAAAACATGCATAAAATATGAACTCTAGTTTTTATATCCCTTTTCACAATACAGATTGTGTCAAACCAGCTGCACAGAGATAAACAGGAATTACACAGAAGAAAAATGTGCAAACAATATCACAATAAAAAAGGAAAGTGGACAATTGAATAAAAAACTTAATTTAAGCATCACATTTGATTAACCCATTGCCTGTTTGCTAGTCTCACCTTAACAAACTCTTTGAATTCAGGCACCTCGTCCGTCTTCTGCTGAATGAGGGTGGCGCCATTGAGCTGGCAGCTGCAGAAGCGGATGTAAGGCTGCATGTGAGGAAGCTGAGCCGTCAGGATGTCACCAATCATCTTCACCGGCATGCGCTCACCTGACATCTTCTTCCTCACCCGCAACGCCCTGGAGACAGTTAGAGGGGCATTCTGGGTAAGCCATGTAATGCTCATTAGATGGAATTACATCCTATTCTTTCAGTTGTCTCAACATCTGTTTAATAAAGCTGTGAAGTGTGAATATTTAATTAAATGACCTGACATGCTGCATTACTTTAATAAATACTGATGCACTGCATTCTTATGCCATCGTTACTGCACTGCATATTAACAGTTTTAGAGCAATTTCTATCATAGAATAAACACAAATGGAGCTTAAATTGCATGACAACTAATGATGGAGTCAGGATTTCCTCAGTAGGTGGCATACTTGAGCAGCTTAATGTTGCACATGATCAGCTCTTTCCAGTTGACAAAGATCATGGCCACCTCCTTCTCAGTCAACAATTCCGACTCCAGCAAAGGCTTCTGGAACGTCTGAAATCAAATCATAAATATTGGTTAGAACTTTAAAAAAATACAATTACATACTTATTAACAGCAGTTTCTTGACTTTTTTGAAACATCAAACAACAGACCTGACACCTATTGATCTTGGCCACTCTATAGGCCTGATTAAACCTTCATTTCTTATGAGTTTTACCTCAGTGACTAGCTGCAGGTCATTGACATAGTTCTCCTCTGTAACAATAAGCTCGTGTGTGTAACCCTGCCTCTTCCGTTCCACTGGGGTCAGCATGTCGAGCAGGTGAAGGTCAGCACACCCTGTGAAACGCACAGAGGTCATGCACAGTCACATCTCATGCTTAGATTAATACATTGAAAAAAAGATTAATAATTCATACCTACATAAATTCAGTTGTATTTTAAGCAGGCAACAATCAAGCACTTACAACAAACTTGTATTACTTTGGTAAGAATAATACTGGAAATTAAAGCTGAATGTTTTTTTCTCTTTGCATTAAGTAAGGAATAGTATACGATTATTACAAAATAAAGGGCCTGTCATGAAGCTTATTACACGTATCAAATAAATAACTGGACATGCAACATTGATTTGAGTTGAACTTACTTTATTATGTGAGAAGAAAGAGATGACGGGGTGATAAGAGACATAACTAGCAGTTATTGTAGGAATACGCTCAACTATACAAAAATATTTGACCGCAGAATGCTGCGATTGCCCAATCAGAATCAGTTATTCCAGAGAGCCGTTTAAAAAAAGCAATCTAAATGTTCATTCACTTCTATAGAATATGCATGCAGGCATATTCCTCATGCAATACTGATTTTATGCCATACATGTGAATCTTGAATTAAACATTATTGTGCATTCAAAACCATTATGCGTGTGATAGTGACACAATCACTACATCTGGTAGCAGATTGAAAATAAATAAATAAAGCCAGTCTGCAGTTGCCATGAAGTTCTTTAATGGTTACACATTTTTTATAAAGGTGGTATGACACTTTGTTTAAAGCTAGGAATTGTTGTATATAGTTGAGTTTTTAAATGTACATTCATTTTATTTTGATAAAATGCTTTAATAGTCAAGTACAACTGTTAATGTTTTGGACATTTTGGTGAGATATTCAGAACGAATGCATTGTATTACAGAGTATTGCAAATACTCAATGGGAAGGAAGCAGTTGTGCTTCTGTAGTCTGAGGATGATTTTCAAAATGAAACAAAACAAAACAAAAAACCTTGCAAGAGACGGTCCATCCAGTCAATAATAAATCAGCAACCTCAAATACTGTGGAACCAATAAAGAACCACACATACATGATTTCATGTCTTGTTTCTCAGTATTAAAATTACAACACTGTTGTGAGGCAGAATTTTAAAAAAAAGGAAAATTTAGTTCATGTGTTGCCAGTACAATACTGTAGGAGTACAAATTAATGCCATGCTTTGATTGCTTTCTAACAAGCAGAAGAAAAAAAAACACACTGGATGATCTAATGGTCTCTTGTTCTGATATTTAAAAGAAAATTCCAGTCTTTTATGTTTCACTTGTAAACGTCTATTTAGTCATAAGCATTTGTGAATAGAAGGGTAAGCTTATGTTCAATACATTAATGCGGTTTAGGGTTTCATTCAAAGCATGACATCTCAATTTCATCAAATTTGGGCTTTCTAAATGCTCTCTATTCACTACTTGAACTTTCATATCTTTGTTTTCCGGTAAAGGGCGGTGTACATACTGAAGTGGATTTTTTTTAAACACTATGCATAACAATTTTTGATCATTATAAAAATAGTGAGCTGTTATATCAAGAACACCTTGAAATCTAGTGTTCTCAAAATCAACATCAAAAACAATTGAAAATTCAATCAACATGACAGAATGATGACAGCAAACGATTGAGAATACAAAACAAAAGCATTCATCCATCTATATGGGAAACACAATTATATAAGAAATTAACCCTCTGAAAGTCTAATCATGTAAGGAAACCCTTAACGAGTACGTCACTTCCAGCAACATTTTATACATGTACGCACTTTGTCTATCACTGTACCATTATTCTTTAGTGGCAGTTGTGCAGTTTTTTTTTGGTTTGCAACACCAATTCTCAACCCCATCACACAAACACAACAAAACATACAATAAAAAAAATAAAAAAAATCAAACAAGAGACTAGCAAGCACACGAACACAAATCAATTCATCCACGGTTTTGGTATGAACATGTAACAAACAATGACACAGAGAGGCATGTGACTGGACCGGATGAACTGAGATCAGTTCAAATTGACTGACAGGGGCACGGTTTAAGGGATAGTGGGTCGCTTTGAGGACTTTCAAGGCTGAGTGGGATATGGGCAACATAAGAGTCCTAGAAAGAGGAAAACACAGCACATAAGCCAAAAAAAAGGAAATAAAAAAAAATCTAAATAAAAAAGGAAAGAAAATAAAAACCACATTGTGCAAAATCTTTACGAGCTAGGAGAACTAAATGAACTCTGGAAGACACTTTTCACAGGATGCCACAATGACAAGGACACTGGCATGCAGGCAGAAGGAGACAGAGAGATGGGAGTCTATTTAAAGGGGTCATATGATGCGATTTCAATATTGCTTTAATGCGGAGGATGCTGGCTGGCAATTTTGCTACGGTTCTGAATATTGAGGTTAACGACTGCTCTCTGTAGTATTCGTCTCTTCTGGCCACAAAACCAGCTGTGGGGGGGCAGTCACATGATCAATGCTCCATCTCCCATCATCCTGCTGGGCACGGTTTAAGGGATAGTGGGTCGCTTTGAGGACTTTCAAGGCTGAGTGGGATATGGGCAACATAAGAGTCCTAGAAAGAGGAAAACACAGCACATAAGCCAAAAAAAAGGAAATTAAAAAAAATCTAAATAAAAAAGGAAAGAAAATAAAAACCACATTGTGCAAAATCTTTACGAGCTAGGAGAACTAAATGAACTCTGGAAGACACTTTTCACAGGATGCCACAATGACAAGGACACTGGCATGCAGGCAGAAGGAGAAAGTACATATTTAAAGAATTTGCCACTGATGATTCAAACGCGAGTTTTAAGCAGTGTAGAGTAGCGCTTGTTGTTTGTCATTTCTCCGATCACAAATGCAGACATGGTTTTATGTTTACGCGGTGCAATGCACAACGCAACGCATTAATAAAACAGTATAAGTCATTATAATCCGTAATTATGTCCCCACTGGATGCAACAAATGCCTCGTTTATAATGGGTTTTATTGGTTTTGTCTCGTCATGCCGGGAGTAGGCATCACAACATGGTAAGGGGCTAAACATTTCCGTCACACGCTTGAGGTATTTGGCCAATCACAACGCACTGGATAGCTGGCCAATCAGCGTACACCTCGCTTTTCAGAATGATGAGCTTCGTAAAAATCAACGCGTTTCAGAAAGGCAGGGCATAGAGGAGCAACAATAATGAACATTATGTGGAAAATAATGTGTTTTAACCTTAAACTGCATAAACACATTGCATTACACCAAATACACAAAATAATGTTCTTCTTAGCAACGCCATATGACCCCTTTAATGCTCTACAACATGAGGTGAGAGGTTGCTTGGAAACAGGAAGAGGAGGGGCTTCAGTGTGGACATCGGACGCTCTATAACTCACCACATCGTGAGGAGGACATAACTAAAACTAAATTTGAGAAGGTCCTCAAAGATTTGAAAGAAATGACTGCATTGGCACAGTCCATTTAGCTGGATGTTACTGGTGACGCTTCAAGCCAATTGTCTCTCAAAGGGATTTCAGAATTGAATTGTTATCGCTAATTTCTTTGAGCAGGATAGAGAGAGGATCATTGCGAGTGTGTGTATAAAATACAGAATGTTCTGGACTCACATTGTTGGCAGGGGTCTGTGTCGGTGGTCAGCTTGACGTAGTTTGATGGGAAAAGGCCAATAGAACCATTCAGCTCTCCCTTCCACCAATCAGGATCCTCTCTGCTCAAAACATTGATGATTTGGCCCTTCCCGAAAGGCAGCTCATCATCGTTCTGAGCCGTATAATCATACATGCCAATCACCTGGCACACTATGAAGTGGAAACACAAATGCACATGTAAAATATAAGATAGCTTGTGTTTTTATGCAACGACCTTGTACAACTGTAGTACATTATTTTCACATTTTGATAATATTTTCAACATTTAAAAACAACAGAAATGCAATTTTTTTATTTTCATATACTTTTCAACTACTGACAAATTCCAGAATCTCTATTTCAATATTTATTCCAGAATAACATAATAAAATTATTCCTGATTACTGGAGTATTTGCTTCGCTATTTGGTAGACTGCCTTTATTTATCAACCATGAGGACATGCAAATACTATGAAAAACTGAGTTGATGATGGTGTGACGGTAGCTTACTAATGTACAGCACAGTACAAGTAACCTAGCCTGTTCTAAATGACGAGGCAACATGCTCAAACTTGACATAATTAAACATTGCCTTTAAGGTTTTAATTATAAAAAGTACAAAAGACAACATTTCATCTGTGTCAAGAGAAACCACTTTCTTGCACAATAAGTTACCTGTACCTGCATTGGGTGTTGGCAGCTTGGGTGGGTTGGGCTCTGTGGGTGTGGTCTTACTGGTGCTGGGGCTCAATAATTTCACATAATTAGCTGGAAACCAGCCAATCTGACGCTTCTTTCCTCTTGCCTGGAGAGAGCAACAGCAGTGGGCCATTAAAATGAATCTGAAGTAAAAATTTAGCATACAGTCTAATTTATAAGGAACAGCAATATCTCACAGGTATCACCATATTATATCATTCCACAAGCACTGATGTAAAATAAATTAAATGAAGTAAATCTGAGCACAAGTAAGCAGATTTAACATTACAACGCATCAAATATGCGTTGCTTCTATAACTACAGATTCTATTAAATGTTTAAGGTTTGTGCTATTGTAGTAGAAAGTGTGGGTGTATTTAACAGCATGTGTGTTATTCAGACCTGAAGTTCTCCTTCCCACCACCCTCCTGGGTTTTTCTTGCGAATGAGAATGAGCTGGCCAGGTGCTAAGGTGAGCTGCTCTTCCCCGGTGGCTGTGTAAGGAGCAATCACCTGGGCAATCTCTGAACACAGAAGAGAAAAACAGGTAAAAGGGGAAAAAAAGCAGGAATACAGGGCCGCTCTCTAATAAAATGCTGTTATGGTATAATTTTGGTCTCCGAGTTCATTTATAAAGGCCACAAAACTGCAGCTGAAAATTTTATTTTTTTGACTAAAATTCTCTCAAACACAGGCAACCATAAAAGTCCTATGGTACATGTTTTATGAGAGAGTTATAGCATGAGGACATCAGCACCCACCTGGTTTCTTCCCTAAACTTCCTGTTTTTCCAGCAGATCCCAAACCCTAGGAAAAGGTGGAAAGAATGCTATTGTTATACTGATTTTATTGGTTGAGAATATTCCTTATTTGACTAAAATAACTTTTTGCATGCAACTGTATTTGTATCGAAAGTATAGCGTTATAAAAAAAGTTCAAACAATTCAAGCTCTGTTTAACATCGCAAGTCGTTACCTCAGATTCTTTAGGTTTGATATAATTTGAGGGGAAGACTCCGGTCTTCCCGCCCACAGTGCCGGTCCACCAATCTCCTTCTTTCTTTGTGACCGTGATGACATCCCCTTGCTGGAAGGTCAAATCACCCTGTTCACTGCTTTCATATGTATACATGGCCACATACTCTGTGATCAGACAGAATCACACAGACTATCAGATACAAAATGATTAAGAAGAGAGAGGGAGGAACACATGATCCATCGAGCTGTCTCTGGTATTCTGACCTTCTCCAAGATCTGTGGGTTTGTTTGGAGATGGGCTGGGTCTCTTAACACTGGGAGGGCTGTCCGAAGAGCCAGACTCAATACTGAAACAGAACAGCAGCATTCAAGTCAAAATCACAGTCTGCATGAAACGCCTAACTGTGTGTTCAACATCACTTTTTGTAATAAAACAAGTATTTCATAATTGGGTCATAATTGTTGCGTTTATTATTATGTTAAGCTCGAAAAGTGAAAACATATTTATTACAATATATTACAAATATAGTATTATTAGAAATCTGTGCTATTTTGCACAGATGCACTGACAGAAAACTACAATTTTAATTTTAATATGCTAACATCCAATACAAATCACTAATATTAGCCAATAACTAATATGTTAATGATATATCGCCAAGATACACACCTCATAGATTTCCGGACGGGCCCAGAGATGAGTTTGACGTAAGATTTGGGGAACCATCCTCTCTGCCCTTGAACCTCCCCAAACCACCACATATCCTGCTGCTCCAGTACGGTGATCACATCATTCTTGTTAAAGTTTAGGTGATTGTCTTTCTTGGCTCTCCATGGATACAAAGCCTGCGCCTGCAGACCCTCCACCTTTTCACCCTGAAAACAAGACAGCAGCAAGAGTTTAAAAAAAAAACCCCAAAAAAACTCGATCAGCAGTAATACACTGTTACGATCCCAGTACCTAACCATAACTTCCATCTAATGAAATGATGAACAATGCCATGATTCTTTTCATATGTTCATGTAAAAGCCTGAAAGAAAGAGGCCTTGTAGTCTTTAAAGCAATAGTTAATTTACTAGAAAATTAGCTAAAAATGTTACCCTCAGGCAATCCAAGATGTAGATGAGTTTATTTCTTCATCGGAACATATTTGGAGAAATTTAGCATTACATCAATTGCTCACCAATGGATCCTCTTCAGTGAATGCAGAGGGTGTTGGCATTAATTGATGGACTGGAGTCGTGTGGATTATGGAGATATTTTATCAGCTGTTTGAACTCTCTTTATGACAGCACCCATTCAATGCAGTGGATCCACTGGTGTGCAAGTGATGTAATGCTAAATTTCTAATTTCTATAGAAACAAACTCATCTACATCTTGAATGGTCTTTTGAATTTTTTTAAAGGAATTATTCCTTTAAAATGCATAGGGTAGAGTAATTTTTCATCTATACTGATTTATTTAATATAAGTAGTTAAGAAAATATAAGAAATTTATTTTCTGGACAGGGGCAGAGTATATGTACCTGGCCGAGCACAGGTGAGGGTGAGGAGCCGGAGAGCGTTGCCGGGGTGAAAGCAGAGCGTTGTCTGATCTGCCCTCCACTGGGCACTGACAGGGACGGCTGAGTGGGCTGGGTTGGCCATGCATCCCATCCATCGCTGTCCTGCTTCTCCACAGCGGAATTAGTTGGCCATCTGCATTAAAGTCACATGAGCATAGAATCAAAATGGATGCAGATTAAAAAAAAATCTGTAAATAAATGTCTTTGCTAGTAAAATTTTTTTATTAGACAAATTACTTACGTAGTGCTGAAATCTGCCCAGTTACTGGATGTTGAGGAAGAGGAGGAGGCAGGGCCTGGAGGGGCAGGGGCTGAGGAGGGCGGGGCTATTGATGCAGACTCTGCGGAGACTGGCTGCATGGGTGTGGCTGTGGTCGATGAAGAAGCGGATGACATATGGGAACCCAATTTAGGGGTGGAACTAGAAGCAGCGCTAGCCCTCAAACTAATCTGCTGTGGTTCTCCTCTTCACTCACTTGGCTTATCCAAGCCTGAGACGCAGGAGGAGTGGGCGCTTTACCCAGCCCATCATCTCTCCATGCAGGAGACAGGCCATCTTCTGTCCCTGACAACCTGAAGGAAAGTAAGGGACAAAATTAATGCAAGTTAATTTGAGAAAAATCGAATTTGAGAAAAATCTAATTATTTTTCCCCCACAAAGAATAGACATGGAATGACATAAAATACCTAGACTCTTGCAATTCTGTGGACATCCTGTTATGTGACGGCTGGGTGATGTCAGCCTCCAGCTCCTTTTGTTTCTGCCTCTGTTGTTTGTTGTGGATTTCTCTTAGCTCCTGCAATGCATGATGGGATATTGGAGAGAGGTCTGTCTGGTGCACGTCCAAACAACCTACAAACAAGAGCGCATCCTACATTTACACACACCTATAAACTCTGCTGTCATCACGACACGTACAGTAGCCCACATCTTGGTTTTCAGAGGATTCCACTTTTTTTTTTGCATTTAATATGGCTGATTTTGTGTCTGTAATTTTCAGAATTTTGGGCAATATGTAAACTAGATGTAAGTCATAAATGACAGAAAAAAAAAATGCAGAAAGCTTATTTATTTTTGTTCTGACACTAACCTGTATAGGAAGTTATTTTTGTTTTTTTTATTCTGTTCTTAAAATCAGGGTTCGTACATATTTTTACCAATACATTTCCATGACTTTTCCATGACTTTTGAGACAATATTCATGACCTAAATGTTCCTGTCAACTGTCCCGAAACGTGAGTGAAAGTCTTGTATCGCAGCGTGCAGCGGCTCTTGTAGCGCAAGACAAGATGCGCCGATGTGAAGCCGTTTGAAGAAAAAAGTCAAAGAGAGAAGGCGCGTACAACTGAATCACTCACGCCGTTTTCAAATGACTGATTTGATCAATCTGTGTGGACTTATTTACTCATCAAACCTACATGCTATAGGCTACTGAATAAATGTGTGAATATCCATCATTTTAAAGTCAAAAGCTGCGGGAATGAGTAAAACTATGCGATATAACCTATGCGCAATCCCGCACCGAAATTCAGGACCTGATTAAACACAATTCTATTATACAGAGTTTTGTGAAATAAATTTCAATGACTTTTCCAAAACTTTCTGGGTTTATTTATTTTTCCAAAACTTTTCCAGGCCTGGAAATTGGGGTTTTAAAATTCCATGACTTTTCCAGGTTTTTCATGACCGTACGAACCCTGTAAAATTAAGAAAGAAAGAAATTGCATGCAATAAGACAAAGATACAAATGAAATATTAGGCTGCTGTAACTTTAAGACCTAATGCACAGATCCAATACACATTCGTTTTCTCCCAACTATTTATATTTACTTAACTGACCATGTTTACAGGAATTCTCAGTAAGAGGGGCATTTTGACATCACTTTGTGTATTTCACTATTCAAGCGTATGTGACAGCTGGCTTTCTTTGAGTGTGTGTCAGTCAGTGCACAAGTACCGCATTATACTTTGAGGCTTATTGTGTTTTTGTACATCAAGTACACCCCATGTTTTATTTTCTCATTTGGACATGTTTCTTTATCACACTAATGTGTCAATAGCTGTAAGTAGTACTGTAATTTTGTGGAATCGCTAAAAACCAAAGGAACTGGTTTTCCAATTAATCGGCGGCCCAGCAATCAACACAGAATCCAACACTTGGTCAGAAAAAAAACATTTCAGATAATAATATAGTGTTTCCTGCAATTGATGTGTTTTCTAAATACATTTACACTGTATTTTCAATCTATTTAAAATGATCTTTTCAAATCAAATTTTTTTTTAAATAAATTATTTTGATCATTATTAGGAGTTTTGTAGTATTTTGAGTTTGTTCATCCTAAATGAAAATATGACAAGGGCAGGTAAAAATCTCAGCTGATAAAAAAATAAATTTAAAAAATCCTTATTGTAGAGCCCTTTTGATGGCTTAGTAAAGGGAAGTAGTCAAGACAAGACAACTGGAAGTGTGCTACTCTAACTCCCCTCATATAGGGCAACAGAGAGCATAGTGCTGCGAGAGTAGAGGGTAATAGTTTGGTAGTAGTTTTCTGGGGGTTAAGAGCATTATCAGGTTGTCTACCTGTCGCCCACTCTGCTCTTCATTAAGAAGATCCGATTGCAGGTTCTCCATCCTAGCAGTGTGGGTCTGATAGAACAGCCCCAAGGACTGTACCACCACGAAGGGTAAAGCGGGGTAAAGCACGGTCAAGCCAGAACAACGAGGGCCAACCAAGCTGTATAAACATGGTGGAGGGAGGAGAGTTGAGAGGGAGTCAGCCAGGATGAACGGAGGATGAGGGGCGGGGTGACAGAGTGAACAGCAGGCAGATACAGTGAGAGAGGAACAAGAGATTGTGTGATGCAGTGAAAATACTTCTACTTTATCACACACTTTCTTTCTCTTATTCTGAAGGCACATTAAGACAAAATTAAGAGTGTTCTGTTGGTTTTATCATATACACTGGGTGGAAGTCAATGATGTCTCAGAATGCACTCTCTCTTACTTCCTCTTTCATTCACACAAACACAGAGGGCCCAAAATGAACACTGCCCCAACTTTCAATGGTAAATGACTTCAGCAATTTTACCACAATTTTTTCTTACTAGCCATGAAACAGCTGTTTGTATTTATTTTATATGTATATCATCTAAAGTATTTAGATGATAGTTCAAATCAACCAAAAGGTTATTTGAATCATTATAATCATAATTACGTTTTAAATTATGTATTATGTTGCAGCTCTAATAAACTGGTAAGTTATTTAAATTTTATTTATTTACCAAAGCCAATTTTACTTAAATGTTGCACAAATGTTAATTTTGCCCCTGCACACACACACAAACACAACGCAAAACATAAAAGTACAAAAAAATGCCAAATAACTAAAAAAAATAACACTACTGAAGACAAAATGGTCTGGCTATGTAAGAATGTGTGTTTGTATAGGTCTTTCAGAGACTCAGTACCTTCAGCTGTGTGTTGAAGGCATCTATCCCCCTGCACACACACACAAACACAACGCAAAACATAAAAGTACAAAAAAATGCCAAATAACTAAAAAAATAACACTACTGAAGACAAAATGGTCTTGCTATGTAAGAATGTGTGTTTGTATAGGTCTTTCAGAGACTCCGTACCTTCAGCTGTGTGTTGAAGGCATCTATTTCCAATAGTTTAGAACGTGTCTCCTTCTCCACAGCGTCCAGCTGTTCTCTCAGCTGCTGTTTGGTGGATTCCTTCATTTCAATGGCCCTCTGAAGACTAGACAGAGAGTCTCCTACAAAGCAGAAATAATCAGACAACAATTAAAGAGCATTCCTGAGAGATCAACATCCTTGTGAATCATTCTGCAAAGCGATTTATTTTCCCCCCTTTTACACTGATGTAAACAAAAGGAAGTTTTAATCATCAAAATGGTCTAAAACTGCACGTGTTTCAACAGTTCAATGAGCAAAACAAACAGGAATACTCTTCAAATAATGCTTAGTTCACCAATCTGATCATTTAGTTCTTGACTGTTTTCATGCGTCTGCGACCTAAGGTGTTGATTTTGTGTTCAATCAGCTCAACTGTCGTTTGTAAAATTGTTCCTGCAGTACCAAATATGACCAGTCAGCAGCAACTTCTACAGATTACAGTGATTATAGATCATTGTTTGTTTAGATGTTACAAAGGCTTTATGTGGGCGTGTTGAGGGCGAGAACTCTGAACACACCTTGATTTGAGTGTCCTGAATTTTAACCGGTTTGTGAAACAAAGACGTGTTGGGCTGATCATCAATTTTATTCCCAGCAATTTTATAGAAACTTGGACAAACTTTGAAATAATAATGACCAGAAGACAGAACCCTACATCCCACCACCAAACACTGACAAAGACACAAGGTACCACAGTAAGTACTAATGGCAGCGGTTTACCACATTAATTAGGTAACCACATAAAATGAGTAGATCCCAACTGTTGAAATGGACTCTGGTTTGCACCAAAATGTCTAGTGTGATAATATCTAACCAGAAAACTAGCCTGGATCTTTAAAGTGGTGTAGAGGAAAGGGTTCTTACTGTGCAGACTGTTCTGCTGAACCTGCTTCAGCTGGTCATTCAGACACTGTTTGTCAGGAATCAACCGACTCAACCACTGCTGAGACTCCTGATGGAGACAAAAGAGAGAAAACACATAAAATATTCGGATTACTTTGACACACTTATGTACAGAGCAATTTAAAACTGATATCTTATTGTGTATAACTGCAAATAAACAAGATATGTATAGTCTAAAGCACTTGTCTCTGTCCATGAGGGGTTTAAAATCCCTCGTCTCTTCCACACACTCAAAAAACACCCCAAACCGGGGAGGAGAGACTAATTCAAATTATGTGAATGCGGAAAGGATGCTGATGATGCCTCTGTATGAGGCAAGTGAGAAGAAATAAGAGAGAAATGAGAAGAAGTGCACACCTGCAGCTGCTGTTGCAGGCTAGTGATCTCAGCAATGCGGAGCTCTCGCGTCTTATTGGTGCTCTCGATCTCGTGCCTCTGAGCCGAGAGACGGAAACGAATGTCCTGCAGTTTACCCTCCAACTGTGACTTCTTATCATTCTAGAGAAGAGCCAAAAAGAACAACAGATGTCAAACTACTAAACTCAGCATCAGATTAACTTTAATCATCAAAATGGTCTAAAACTGCACTTGTAACAACAGTTCAATGAGCAAAACAAACAGGAATACTAATCAAATAATGCTTAATTCACCAATCTGATCATTTAGTTCTTGACTGTTTTCATGCCTCTGCGACCTAAGGTGTTGATTTCGTGTTCAATCAGCTCAACTGTCGTTTGTAAAATTGTTCCTGCAGTACCAAATATGACCAGTCAGCAATTCCTTCTACAGATTATAGTGATTATAGAGAGACGGAAACGAATGTCCCGCAGTTTACCCTCCAACTGTGAATTCTTATCATTCTAGAGAAGAGCCAAAAAGAACAACAGATGTCAAATTACTAAACTCAGCATCAGATTAACTTTGGTTTAATATGCATATGGGGCCACTCAAACAGATTACAATTCTGTTTGGTGTTGCTGATGGTTCTGTTTATGTATTTGTTCAACATTTTATTCCTCAAAACATGGTTGTATTTTCTGATTTATGTAGTGATAAAAAGAGATATCCAAAATCCCCTCGGTTTATACCTTTAACTCTTTCCCCGCCAGCATTTTTGAAAAAAGTTTCCAGCCACCGCCAGCGATTTTGATGATTTTAACTAAAATTTGATGGCCTCCAGTATATTTTGCTGTATGAATATTTGAATATGCAATACACCAAAATAAAGATCAGAGCCTCTACTTTAAAAAAAAAAAAAAGTTTTTTATTCTAGTTTAAAGCATTCTTTTTTTATCAACACTTGAATATAGGTAGGTTTCATAAAAAATGCATAATTTTGAGCAAAAAGGTGAAAATATAAAATGTTTATCAAAAACTACATCTGGATAATATTTAGTACGATTATCAAAGCATAAATCCAGTAAATCGCTTCCATCAATACCTCCAAAGCTTGCACAGACATAAACCACTTTCTGGATCAACATTTTACTCTGTAACATTATGCAGTTTTCATTTATATGCTGTCTATTGCTGATGATCGCATTATTTTTTATATGCATCTGTTTACATAAGAGATCGCTAGTTTCTCCGTCCTGTTCACGTGTGTTTTTGTTCGGGAGGTTTTGTACTCATTCAAAAGATGCGTAATAGTGCCTCCGAGTGTATAACAGTGAAAACACGAAAGCCATAAGAACCCCATCTTTGGTGGGGAAGCGTTTTCTTGTAAAAGACGAGATAACTCGTCAATGGCGGGGAAAGAGTTAATTTAATGTGCCAACAATTAAAACAAGAATTTTGAACCTGGTTTTATTCAGCGTTCAGATTTCTGTTCTGGTAATGTATGCAAATGAGTGCATATTTAATTAGACAAACTTGTAATACAAAAAAATGCATGCATTTTCTTAATCCTCTGAGGAATTATGGTCAAATCTACTAGTTAACATTTTTACCCTATTCAACTGGAGTGTCTTGCCTTAAAACATTAAAGTGTAGAAAAGTGCACGTACCAGGGCCTCCAGTTCAAACTCAAGTGTTTTCTTGCGTGCTTTGAGCAGGATGATGTTCTCCTGCTCTCTGTTTCTCTGGGTGAGCAGTTCCTGTCTGCGTGTTCTTTCCCACTCTAACTGCCGCTGACGCTCCAGCTCCCGCTTAGCAGCCTTCACACACAACACACACTCAAGAGGTTACAGATGATGCTGATAGTGTTTAACATGCACTGAGAATTTTTTAACTTACCTCTCTTCTCTCGATCTCCTTGCGTCTCTCCTCCTCCCTCTGTCGCTCCAGCTCTCTCTGTCTCTCCAGTTGTCTGTCCAGCTCCTGCTGTCTGCGTCTCTCCTGCTCCAGTCGTTCTCTCTCCTTCCTCTCTTGCTCCTCTTTCTCCAGGGCCACCAGTCGCTCCTGCTCTTTCCTCTGCTGCTCCAGCAATGCCTGCCGACGTTTCTCCAGCTCCAGGTTTCCACGCTCAAAGTTCTCTCGTTTCTTATCCTCGAATGTGACTGAGGGGAAGAACGGAAACAATTTTAAGACAGATTTTTACATTTAAAACATAGTAGCAAGCTCTTTTACATCTAGCATGAACGTGTTTTTGGTGATACACTTGATCACATTAAAAGCCATATGTAACAGTGATTGTATTGAGATCACTGAAACCAGTTTCAAAGGTCGTCACGACAGGTTCTGACCATATTCAATGAAAATGTTACCGCATTTTGTTAACCATAAACAAATATGGAAGTAATATGTAAAAGGTTGCACTACACATAAATAAATTTTCCATCATGCTCTACTTTTATTATGTCTTATGATCTGGTCAATTAAAAGAACAATATCTCACTAATAATTCCACTGAACTACACTTGCAATTTCTCATTTGTATCCCCAGACCTTCACTCACATTTCTCTCAGGGAGCTTTAAAACTTATTTTACCCATTTTCTCCACTTCTATTGTCTATTAGCATTATATACAGAGGGTATGTTTCTTAAGTATGTAAAAGTAACCAGAAACCTGGTATTCTATTAGCCAAAATGAGGGAATGCACGTTGAATTAGCCAGTAATGTTTTTTAAAAATTGGTAAATGGAGGAACATTTATAATTAATGTAGCCTTTGTGGTAATATGCAAGTGGCGTTTTCCATTTTGTATGGGTAAGTGGTATCAGATCTCACAAAGAATTGCACTGCAAGATGTAAATGCAAGTTAAATAGCTAAATCCAGTTAAAGACTATCCAGATAAAAATGCATTAATGCCAGAAGCAAAGGGGGGCCTTTTCATGTCTATACTAAAAAATGCATAATTTTGAGCAAAAAGGTGAAAATATAAAATGTTTATCAAAAACTACATCTGGATAATATTTAGTACGATTATCAAAGCATAAATCCAGTAAATCGCTTCCATCAATACCTCCAAAGCTTGCACAGACATAAACCACTTTCTGGATCAACATTTTACTCTGTAACATTATGCAGTTTTCATTTATATGCTGTCTATTGCTGATGATCGCATTATTTTTTATATGCATCTGTTTACATAAGAGATCGCTAGTTTCTCCGTCCTGTTCACGTGTGTTTTTGTTCGGGAGGTTTTGTACTCATTCAGAAGATGCGTAATAGTGCCTCCGAGTGTATAACAGTGAAAACACGAAAGCCATAAGAACCCCATCTTTGGCGGGGAAGCGTTTTCTTGTAAAAGACGAGATAACTCGTCAATGGCGGGGAAAGAGTTAATTTAATGTGCCAACAATTAAAACAAGAATTTTGAACCTGGTTTTATTCAGCGTTCAGATTTCTGTTCTGGTAATGTATGCAAATGAGTGCATATTTAATTAGACAAACTTGTAATACAAAAAAATGCATGCATTTTCTTAATCCTCTGAGGAATTATGGTCAAATCTACTAGTTAACATTTTTACCCTATTCAACTGGAGTGTCTTGCCTTAAAACATTAAAGTGTAGAAAAGTGCACGTACCAGGGCCTCCAGTTCAAACTCAAGTGTTTTCTTGCGTGCTTTGAGCAGGATGATGTTCTCCTGCTCTCTGTTTCTCTGGGTGAGCAGTTCCTGTCTGCGTGTTCTTTCCCACTCTAACTGCCGCTGACGCTCCAGCTCCCGCTTAGCAGCCTTCACACACAACACACACTCAAGAGGTTACAGATGATGCTGATAGTGTTTAACATGCACTGAGAATTTTTTAACTTACCTCTCTTCTCTCGATCTCCTTGCGTCTCTCCTCCTCCCTCTGTCGCTCCAGCTCTCTCTGTCTCTCCAGTTGTCTGTCCAGCTCCTGCTGTCTGCGTCTCTCCTGCTCCAGTCGTTCTCTCTCCTTCCTCTCTTGCTCCTCTTTCTCCAGGGCCACCAGTCGCTCCTGCTCTTTCCTCTGCTGCTCCAGCAATGCCTGCCGACGTTTCTCCAGCTCCAGGTTTCCACGCTCAAAGTTCTCTCGTTTCTTATCCTCGAATGTGACTGAGGGGAAGAACGGAAACAATTTTAAGACAGATTTTTACATTTAAAACATAGTAGCAAGCTCTTTTACATCTAGCATGAACGTGTTTTTGGTGATACACTTGATCACATTAAAAGCCATATGTAACAGTGATTGTATTGAGATCACTGAAACCAGTTTCAAAGGTCGTCACGACAGGTTCTGACCATATTCAATGAAAATGTTACCGCATTTTGTTAACCATAAACAAATATGGAAGTAATATGTAAAAGGTTGCACTACACATAAAACATTAATTGTAATTTTGTCAGGCTGGGCTTTAAATTTTCCATCATGCTCTACTTTTATTATGTCTTATGATCTGGTCAATTAAAAGAACAATATCTCACTAATAATTCCACTGAACTACACTTGCAATTTCTCATTTGTATCCCCAGACCTTCACTCACATTTCTCTCAGGGAGCTTTAAAACTTATTTTACCCATTTTCTCCACTTCTATTGTCTATTAGCATTATATACAGAGGGTATGTTTCTTAAGTATGTAAAAGTAACCAGAAACCTGGTATTCTATTAGCCAAAATGAGGGAATGCACGTTGAATTAGCCAGTAATGTTTTTTAAAAATTGGTAAATGGAGGAACATTTATAATTAATGTAGCCTTTGTGGTAATATGCAAGTGGCGTTTTCCATTTTGTATGGGTAAGTGGTATCAGATCTCACAAAGAATTGCACTGCAAGATGTAAATGCAAGTTAAATAGCTAAATCCAGTTAAAGACTATCCAGATAAAAATGCATTAATGCCAGAAGCAAAGGGGGGCCTTTTCATGTCTATACTTGTCATCTGATCCACAAATATTTTATCAGCGAGTCAGCTGAGTTTCCATGAAACTGATTAGGATTTGCTCTTGTCCTCTGACCTGCAAGTTTTTTCTCTGCCTCTTTTTCCTCCTCCTCCAGCTCATCCTGAGACCGTAGGTCTGTCGAGTGTATACTGGTCACAGACACTCCACTACCAGAACGCACTCTCCTACACAAACAGGAAAGAATTAAGTCCTATAAATGTAACCATTTGCATCGTTAGAATAAAAGTTCTCTTAAAGGGATAGTTCACCCAAAAATGATAATTTGATGTTTATCTGCTTACCCTCAGGGCATCCAAGATGTAGGTGACTTTGTTTCTTAAGTAGAACACATATGATGATTTTTAAGTCCAACCGTTGGAGTCCATCAGTCTTATAATGCATGGCAATGGTAACAAAGTCTAGGAGTGTAAAACAAACATGCACAGACAAATCCAAATTAAACCCTGCGGCTCCTGATGACACATTGATGTCCTAACACACGAAACGATCGGTTTGTGCCAGAAACCGAACAGTATTTATATAATTTTTTACCTGTAATACACCACTACGTCCAACTGCTTTGAGCATGTGCACGACTTCCGGTGCGTGAGGCTTGTACGCGCTCTGGCGTAGTTTACGTTAATGGGTGTGTTGTTGCGGGAGGAGCAAACGACAGGCACAGTTTATTAACAGAAAATAAACAAAGTGTCCAGAAAAAAGGGAATCAAGTGTCCAAAATAAACAGGGGATCTGGTGTCCTCGTCGTGCTGCGGGGTTCGTGAAGGGAAGGGCAGTGGTCAGGAAGGAAGGAAGGGTCCAGGTAAGGGGCGGAGTCCGGCGGCCGCACGCGCTCCCCTCTCCGGTCCGGGGCGTGAGCTTCTTTCAGCGGCTTCGTCCTTCTCTCTGCCCACGGCGCTTGAAGGAACTAGACGGCCCAGCATCCTTGCCCGACGGCCGTGTAACGGGTGCGGTTCACGTCCGGACTGCGGGTCCGGCAGCTCACGACTCTGGCGGCACGGGAGTTCCTCTACGCACCCCTCCTGGACCCACGAGGACACCAGCGTGCATGCACGGGGAAGAGCCCGGTCTCTCGAGGAGAGTCGCGCTCGGCATTTAAACAGCGGCGGTGATGAGGCTCCATTCGGTTCAGGTGTGCCCCATCACACGCCACCAGCCCGACTCATCACAGTGTGTTGATACCCAGCCGAAGAGCAATCAACCATAACTTCAGGCGAGCAGGCTCAGAAGTCGGTTTGAACAATCCGGATAAGTGCAAGTAAGTACCATTTTGATTAGCCGTCGTACCTACAATGACTGTGCACTGTGTAAACAATGAGTGACGTATACGCGCGAGAGATCACTTCCGGCACTTGCGTAAACTACGGAAGTCGTGCGCGTGCTCAAAGCAGTTGGACATAGTGGTGTATTAGAGGTAAGATATGATATAAATACTGTTCGGTTTCTGGCACAAACCGATTGTTTCGTGTGTTAGGACATCAATGTGTCGTCAGGAGCCGCAGGGTTTAATTTGGATTTGTCTGTGCATGTTTTTTTTTTACACTCATAGACTTTGTTACCATTGCCATGCATTATAAGACTGATGGACTCCAACGGTTGTACTTAAAAATCATCAAATGTGTTCTACTGAAGAAACAAAGTCACCTACATCTTGGATGCCCTGGGGGTAAGCAGATAAACATAAAATTGTCATTTTAGGGTGAACTATCCCTTTAACTCTAACTTTCAACTAAATTGGCAGATAATTCCAAGGCATGAAAGATGATCATTGACAAAGTATATATATAGTTGTGTGCCATCAGTGGGGTCACTCACCTGAATGTCGGAGGTATGAGGTCAGGGGGCAATAAAGGCGGAAGAGGCAGACCGGACATGGCCATGTCAATTAAGTGCATGGCCAGAATAAACTCTTCTGCAGTCAACTTTCCATCCTGGTCTATATCTGACAGGTTCCTATATAGATAAACAAGTGGATGTTATTATTGTTATAAGGAGTCAAAACAGCTATTTATCTTGCCTTTCCACATGACACCACATCACTCAAGATCCGGTGTTAAAGTGCCCCTATTATGCCATTTTGTTTTGGGAGCCACCTACAATAGGTTTACATACTTGCAAGGTCAAAAAAAACGATTTTGTTTTCTCAAAATATGCATTTAATATCACCTAATTTTCCAACGATTCACAACCTATTTGTTCGAAGCAGTTCTAAGATTCAATCTCTATAAACACCTCCTTTCTGTGAGCCTACCCTGCTCTGATTGGTCAGATGGCCCAGTCTGTTGTGATTGATCTACCTTGTACAGTGTGTGTCAGAAACGATACGCCCATTGCCATAGTTCTGTATTTTGAAAGCTCAATAGAAAATATATACACATATTATTGATCATACTTACAAGATGTTATTTAGTGGAGCCAGTTGGTCCAAATAAACTGGGTACTGAGTCATCTTTGAAGAGCAGTGTTTTGTGAATGCTGCGTTGAACATAGGTGGGCATTATGCAAATGTGTTACCTCGTGACGTGTAGCTGTCACGGAAGTGGGATTCAAATTGCTGACGACTCGCTTAGGCTGCTCAGAGTCAATTATTTCTTTTGGGAGACAACTTAATTTATCGTGCACTTTCGGCTTTACTACTTTGCAGATCGTTTACATTCACATACAGCTACATTACAAACTGAATGAAAGGCAATATTCGAAATGGCATAATAGGGGCACTTTAAACATAGGTAATACAAAAATCCCAAGGACAGCATGTTAAGAGATATCAAAACAGCAGTCGGACGTACTCATAACAATATCCAGATACCAATCCTCATGTTTACACTGATTCAAATCTCAAAACTCTGAGATTTGTTTGAGTTTTAAATGCGAGACAGAGACACAGTAAAAAACAATTTGGGGATCCGCACCAGATGGTTGCCAGCTGGGTCTGCGGTAGACTGGACTGCATTAGAATAGTTCTGGCTTGTGGACCTGAAGCAGAAAAGAAAGAGAGAGAGAGAGAGAGGAAACAGAAGTGAAAGAAAGAGTTGAGTATGTTGAGTCAGCAACTTTTGTTTCCTCTAACTGTAACCACTGCCACTCATCACAAAAGCTTTGAGCTCTGCAAACACACTAAATTAAAAACTAGATAAAATATGAATGGTAATAAATGCACATGAAAATAGTATTAAATCAAACTTGAAAATACAAAACTATAATAACCTTGTTTAAATTTACAGCTATGCAGCATTTAAATTTGATATTTAAATTAGATGAGGGTGAGGCTACCCAGAGCTGAACAACAAAACATAATACAAAGTGTTTCACTGCCTGATGTTTGTTATGTGTCATGCTTTGTGTGACAGACACCACACCTGTGAGATAACCACTCATCATTTTGTCATGGCTGTTGAAGAGTTGGCGGTACTTGAGCCGAGAGGACTGAGACACGGCCCAGTCAGTGGGCGGAGGAGCAGCCGGAGCACTAAAGAGACAATGTGTGTGTTTAAGTGGCTATATTCTGCTCATTTACAAGTTCAACATTTTATTTTTGGGGACTGCTAGAATACATTTACAGTTCAAAAAACACGATTTTTCCCAAACTGTACATTGGTCCAGCACCGCTTTTCACCCTCTGGCTGAAACACTGTTTTAGTTCCTGTCTTTGTGACGTAGCTAAATAATGGAAATAATGGCAAGACTACAAACAAGGCATTTCAGGCAAGTGATTTTCTGCACACTAAAGGAAAGGTAAAAGCAAAATTGGTGGTTTTTAACATCTATAAAATTTCTGCGAATAGAGTGTGCATGTGTGTACATACCTGGGTGCCTCTACAGACTGGCCCTTCTGTAGCTTGATACTGGAACGATTGAACGAAGCTGACAGAGACAAACACCCATAAATTATTGTGCCAAAGTAAACAAACTGTATAAGCTGGTCTGGGTAGTGTGAGCGTGTGTTTACATTACCTGGATGTGAGAATCCACTCATGGGTTGTACCATAGCGGGCGCTCCATTAGCAAGAGATGGTACCGCTGGGGTCACTGATGCTACCAGTGGTGGAGACACGCCTACTCCCGGCACTCCTGGGGGCAGGGGCATGGGTGGCACCGCTGGCAGACCTGGCATTGCCCCCATACTGGTCATCCCTGCAGACACCAATCAAAGAAATAATTAATTAATTTAATAGATTCATAATAATTAAAACAACATAATTAAAATAAACAAATGGTGAGACAGATAAGGTATGCTTGATGTAATGAATTTAATTTATTTTAATTAAAACATTATATAAGAGACTTTAAATCTCTGAGGGACTTTACTGAACCACAATCCTAAAAAAAGCCCTGAACAAGGGGTCTGTTAGAAGAGTGGTCAAGTGTTGGACAATGGGGGGCCTTCGACAATGGTCTTGGACTAAGACTTCATCTGTGTCCTGAAATGTAACATGTCATTCAAGCCATCAGAATGAGAGTGTTCTTACCAAAAGGGGGCTGCGGGGGTATGGAGAGGGGTGGCTGCTTCATGGAGGTGGGCAGTGAAGGAGGGAGGGGGTGACCCTGCAGCTTCAATTTAATCAGCTTCATTGCGATGGAAAATTCATGCATGTCCATCTTCCCATCGTTGTTCATGTCGGCCAGGGCCCTGCAAAACATGGACAGAGTATCTTTTTCAGTGACGGACAACATTTTAACTTTATCATTCAGGATTTGCAACCTGCTACACAATCGGTTTTCATAGACACAGCAGCCTGAACAATTTTGAATGTTAAAAAAAATTACGTAAATAATGTAACAATGCTACAGTAATTGGTTAACTGTAAGTTCATGTTTTTTGTTTAATTGATGGTTTTAGGAAGCAAAAACTATGTACTACCTAATAATTTACAGTGAAAAGCAGTAAAAGGACATTCTCAGAAGCTCCTGCATGACACGTCACATATGATTGTGTTCTTATTTTTGTTATCAGTGTTATCATTAAGGCAGTGGTTCTTAACTGGCTTGGCCATGGGACCCCACATCAAGCTGCGACCCAATTTTTTAGGATACATACATACATACATATACATATATATACAAAAAACTTTAACTGTCTCAATTATCAAGCCGTTTTGATTTTCTGAGCAGTATGACATCATATTGCTCAAGCCCCGCCCACGGCCGCTGACGGACTGTCCCATATTAGCATATTCACACCTTCAGCCAGTTGTACGTTGTCGGCCATTTTCTCCGCGCTCAAGCAGCTGTAATGATGCAGGTGTTTTGTAGTTGGATGTAAAAATAAACATAAGAGACTCCCAACATCAGAGCCACTGAGAACGCAGTGGATTAGTTTTGTTTTTTTATGGTAAAGCGCCACCAAATACACCTAAATTCATTTATGTCTGTGCAAATCATTTTACTCCAGACTGCTTTCTGAACGAGGAAGAATGCAAGGCAGGTTTTATGAAAAAGTTAAAACTCAAGGATGGATCAGTACCAGAGCATGTGAGCGGAGCGGAGCGGTAATATTTCCTTAAGAGCGCAGAGCACCTTTCTGAAGATTCCGCTCTGCCCGCTCAATACGCTCAGCGCCCCTCGCTCAACCCAGAATGCCATTTGGTGATCTGCTTGTTCGAGATCGAGAATCTGTAGAGATCGAGAATAGTAGAGCAGTTATGGAGTTCAGATATTGTTTCAACGAAGTTGCAAGCCTAAAAAAATCAAAGTTAAGAATGAACAGGGAGAAGAAACTGAGAGTGAGTGCGGGGAGACTGCTGAAGTTAGTAAAGATTCATATTGGAATCTGAAGCGGCACATTGCCAGAAAGCACGAGGATGTGCTACACAAACATGGTGCCGCAAAAGGTGAGCTAGTTACATACCATAATAAATGAATAAACAGGTAGGCTAAGGTTATATTCGGTTGTACGGAGCCCCGATCATGCGGACAAAATCACGGCCACGAATTTAGAATAGGCTAGTTCTCTTTTATGCTAGGACTAAATTATGGCCACAAATTAAGAATAAATTTTTTTGTTTAGTCTAAATTATGGCCAGGAATCAAGTATTCGTTCTCTTGTTTAGGCTTAGCTGCCACAAATTAATTCGTTCGTTCCCTAGTTTAGTAGGCCTAAATCGTGGAACAAATTATTATATTTCATAATTACTTATTAAAATCATTATTGCTTAAAATGAATAAATAATAATAAATTAATAAAAAAAATAATAAAACCTGCTGAGGTCGTAGAAACTAATTGTTCATTCGAATTATATTCGGAGCTCCGTAGTTATTAAATAATCTCAGTTAAACTGTAGACTTAAGATAACACACAGCTGTATATAGGCCTAAATACAGAACTACAGAGTACAGCCTACACCACTTGGATTTTGGAAAACCGGTGCTGGATTTGCTGGATTTTGGAAAACCAGTGCTGGATCCCTCCCTCAACTAGCCAAGGTCGCCCGCAAAATCTTCAGCATCCCCAGTGGTTCTTCCAGCGCTGAGCGAGTGTTTTCGGGCACAGCGAATGCTGAAGCCTGACACTTTGTCCAAGCTAATGTTTCTTAAAGTAAATTCTAAAATCCAGTAAACATCAAGAGATGTTTTAATAGACCACAGTTCCCCGCAGTTATGGTCTATTTTAACTTGACACTAGAAAGTGTGTTTCTTTCATTGACGTCAGTTCATAAACCAAGCGTTCTTTAAGTGCATTTTATCTTGTGTGTGCTTTTCACAGGCTTTATAATCCAGGTGTATTTTGTAAAGATCTACGCACATTTCATCTTGTGTGTGTGTGTGCGCTTGTGTTTTAATGAGCCTGTTTTGAATGTTTTATTGCACAACAATGGCAGCTATTTTCACGGAAATAAAGTTAACGAAAATCAAATACACTTTTTTCAGTTTTTGCATTTTAGGTAGGTTTGCTAAGGTTAGATTAATATATTTAATAAA